AATAATTTGTTATATCTGCGGCATTTCTTTAAAGTGTTACAAAATAATTATAGTAGTATGCCTCTCATCAAAAATTTTAATTTTAAGTTTAAAAAAAATGTGGTGTATATCTCGACGCAGGTAAGAATATTTTGACGTAACCATTTTGTTTGTTTATATTTTTAAAGGTGTAATCGTGTGAAAGTAAAAAATGTTTAACTTAAATTTTGATGCGTATATGTATTTTACAGAGACTCTTGAGTCCTGAAAAATTTACCGATGCATCACTATGATTTTCAAAATGTTTCGTAATATTCAATTCAACTTTGCTGGTAGGTACACCAAGGCAGCAGCGACGCACGCGTTGCGGGCACCTTGATTGACTACATGACGGGTGTAGTGGGCACTGAATTGGCTTACGTCGTGAAACCTTACCACAAAATGTTTCCCAATTTCACGGATACGGCGACTCTTGGTAAGGAAAACATATATAGCGTGTCGATACCACCACGACAATAAATGAACACACGTCTAACGCTACTTGCCAATAATCATAAAAAAATATTAACGTTAAAAAATGCATGATTAAAATTTTTTTTCAAACAAACTAATTGAATAAAAAAGAAACAAAATTTGTAACATCCTATACAACTGCAACTGACTGATTCAGAGATTTTTTCATTCGTTGCCACAGCGTCGCATTACAAGCCTCTCCTTCTAACAGTATGTTTTGTCTCTTTTAAATGAATTCAACCCATTTATATGTTTTGTGACCTTTACAAATTAACATTACGTTACAGTTTAATACGTAAGGGTGTTCTAAAAGTGTTTGTTTTGTAAAATTTTATAACTCGGTAAATATTAATGTTTAAAGAATGTAAATGTTTAATACAATTTTAAAAAGTTATTGTCGCGATTGTAAAGACGCCGTATAAAATTAGTCATTGCAACATATTATCTCTCACTCATACTACTACTCATTGCTTTAAATGCTAAATAACAATGTAGAAAGAAGGCGTTAAGATTTTCGTCGCTGTGGTTATCAGCCGTTTAGCTCAGTGGCTAGAGCGTCAGGCCGCGAATGCCAAAGACGTGGGTTCGATTCCCACAGCGGCGACAATCTTTTCGTACTTTTTCTACATGTTTTAATGTTCAATCTTAAGTGCAGAGATTAGCACAATAAAAAAAAACTTTAAAATTTATAAAAGCAATGGCGACATCTCTCGTTCGAATTATCGTTGTAAAACGATATTCGAAATTGTTTGTATGCTGGAAAGGATATAACAATAGATGCGCCAAGCATTGCTTCAAATGCTAAATAACAATTTAGAAAGAAGGCGTTAAGATTTTCGTCGCTGTGGCTATCAGCCGTTTAGCTCAGTGGATAGAGCGTCAGGCCGCGAATGCCGAAGACGTGGATTCCATTCCCACAGCGGCGACAATCTTTTCGTACTTTTTCTACATGTTTTAATTTACCTATAAAGTTTAAGATAACACTGTTTTTATTTTCCTTTGGAAATTGATGCTTGCATAGACATTACCTATGCAGAATCACGCGTGTTGAGAAAAATGAAGGAATAGGTATTATCTACGGGTCATTAAGGTTCGATACGTTGATCATTATTCATGACATCGGCGGCTTTCCACCGTGTCATTCGTTACAATTTGATCTCAGCTATTTACGGTGGTAGGGCCACGCAGTTGCCTCGTTTGTTGCACGAATGGGTAGCTCATCCGAGACCACGAACTCACAGAAGACCAGCGTAAAGTGGTAGTATAATACTATCGCGTTTCGTCTGGTGAGTGAAGTAGCCGTAGCCCAATTTTCAAAAGGTTGTCAACGCGTCTGCAAACCCTCGGGTGTAGCAGATGTCCATGGGCGGTGGTATTCACTTAATATCAGGTCAACCACCGGCTCGCTTGGCAACTTTTCACATAAATAAAAATAAAAAATTTCAAGACATGCTTATGAACTGGCCTAAAAAAGGGGTGTATAAGAAATTCGAGAGTAATAAAAAAAGTTTTAACTATATAAATTAATACAAAGTAATATCCAAAAGTACTTCTACCGGGTCTTCAGAAGCCACGGAATCTAGATTATGGCTGCTCCATGTATGTTTTTTAATGTGCGAAGGTCAAACGAGCTAGATGGCAGTTCACCTGTTATTAAGTGATAACCACCCTTTCACATTTGCAACACTTGTAGGGTGGATTGCCGATGCATTATAAGGTTTATATTACAATTATTGACACTTCTTTATACGAATCCTATTTTTTATTGAATCCTACTTTAGAAAAGTTTCTGACAATCAGTGTGGTTTAATAAATTAAGCGACGCTTACTAGTCTTTATTAACTGTAACCTTACAAAAATTGACATATTTTTTAATATTTCAGAAACCTACGTAACCAAGTCAATATCAACGATTCTCAGTTTAGTGAGAGGTTGGCGGAAAAGTACGAAGCAGAACACACTTTCGTTTTTCGGTCGAGATGTTGAATTTTAATTTTAGATTATAAAAGTTTCTCTTTTTTAAATCTTTTATTACATATCCTTTATTTCATTACTGTCTTAACTTATGCTACCCCTACCCATATTATTTATTTAAGCTACAGTGAAAAAACAAATTCAATTACGAAAAACGAATTAATAAATATAATTATCTGCAACTGTAGGTACATCTGATGTCTTGATCTTAAATTACCAACGTATCGAGTTTCGTCGTTTATTTGTTTATAAGGAGGGAAAGGAGTAAAAAAAAAGCATCAATGGGTATAATTATTACTTAAGTATAGTGAAAATTATTACTTATTGGAGAGAATTAATGTCATACGAAGTGGCGGTTCACCTGACGTTACCTTATTCAGCTGCCCATGGACATCTACATAACATGGGAACGTAGTTACTTTCCCACCCTTTACAAGATTGGACCCCTGTTCCCCACTCGCTAGACGAACACAAAAGTTTATTTCTGTCACCTTCACACTGTCTTCTATAAGACTGTGGCAATTCTCCGCACGAGCCCACCCATCCGTGCAACATGCGAAGCTACTACACACCCCAGTAACAACAGATTTAAAATTAATAGGTACTAAGCTTTTTTATTGAAGTTTATTAAGTCATATCGGTCAGGAAATAAAGCGGGCGGCAATTATTTCCACAAAGTCGTTGGCCGCGACGAGAAATTAAGTGATAATCTGCTAATCTTCAAGCCAGTATTTATCCGAACAATTTTATAGATATTTGTTAAGTGTAAATAGTTATGCATATGGAAAGAGTTATGAAACAAGCCAATCTAAAAAGTTCTGCCTACTGATAGCGAAATTGTGTACAAAGAATTAACATTAGTTTTGCGATAAGTTTTTTAAATTGCAATATAATCGGGCTCGCCAGGAATTAGGTACATGTATGAATAACGTGTTCTGCACACGGGTGGCACATTCAATTTGCAACAAATATACGAATCAACTAATCGAGCTCATTCACGAGAATTACAATTGATAGTGTGAAAAAATTCTCATTCGTAAAATAGTTCCGATCTCAAAATAACGCGCTATGGTTGACAGCGAGAGGTCGTGGTGTAGTGTCCTCGTAAATACCCGGTAAGAGGCTGCCTCCAACTGCCTCCCTGGATATCCGTCGCCGGAGACCAGGGCGCATGAGGCTTCCCCCTGATAGTGAGACCCCGAGCGGTAAGCACGGAGGTGTCTACCGCTGAATATGGAGCTCGTAAGAGGTGCTGTGCTAGTTGCACTGATAGCACCAATTAGCAGTAGCACACGAGAAGAGGCCTAAAAAGGCTATAGTCGTGCCGGGTCGCGGAACTATGCATCTTAGTGTTCCCATGTCCCCGGCCGATGCGACAAAAACAGGTGCAACGTGAATTTTTTTAGTGGATACCCGTTTCTGACTGGCACTCCCACATACCCCTGGCAGTTGCCCGATCCGTCGACAGAGGCCAATCGGGGGAGCGGCAGGAGGATAGTTCTGATCTGGGATCCACTAATGATTTCCCATTAATATTTTTTTAAAAGAGGTAACCCTTTTTAACGTGGGAAACTATACTCTCGGAAACGGGGTTAACGGTGAAACCACAGACCAGTTCAACCGCTAGGCACAGAGAGGCTTGCTGCTTATTAGCACTGGCTCTCCTTGCTCCCATGGCCTCTGGTTAGCAGGTTAGTCAGGCTAGTTCGTTGCAAAAGGGGACAAGTAGGTAGGCGCGAATGTTCTAGCGTGCTTTACCCGGAGGAAAAGGCACTTGTTCCCGGACCGATGCAGCCAGCGCTGGGAGAGTCGCGGAAATGTGCTAAATCGTTCTCCCGTGATCCTGCACCATAGGTAGTTTTAGTCGGTGCGAGTCCGACATAACTCATCGCAGCCAGGCATTTCTACTACGTAAAAAATAGCATAGGCTTGTCCGACGAAGCGCGTTGCCAACTATTACTCACTCACCGCACGAAACGCTAAAGTATACTAATATTTCCACTTCACGGCGGTCTTATGTGAGGTCGCGGTCCGAACTGTTGTTGCACGAATGGATTTCCAAATAGAAAGAAAAACAAAACCGGCCGGTGCTAGTCGGGCTCGCGCATGAAGGGTTCCATACCATTATCTATAAAAACGGCAAAAAAATCATGTTCGTAGTAATAGGGTCCAGTTTTACCCTTTGGATGCGGAACCCTAAAAAAAGCACAGCGAAGTGCGGCTGGGTTCAGCTAGTAGATTTTATAAAGCGACGTTTTCGTAGCATGTTTAAGACACATAACTACATATAGTTAATTACGATCAAAGTCACGCAATTCATTTATTACGAACAGTTACAAGATTTTTCATTTGTACATAAAATTATAATAAATATAATTATGCCTAGTTTATGGGATAAGTGGAAAAGAAACAAACACGCCTTGACTTCCTGTCAACATTTATAATATATCTTTGACTGTCTAAAAATAAACAACATATTTGGATAGATACAAAATGAGCAAATATACACTATTTACAATATCTATCATATATCATCTCGTCCTATTAGTTGTAGTGGAATTTTTTCTTAAAACCGATACGTCGATTCGCCACGCATTCGCGAGTGCTCCGACGGCGTCGAGTAGGGACTTTTGTTTTAGGTTGTTCTCTTTGAGATCAGTGCTGTGTAGGAGGCTGAGGTGTAAAGAGATCTGATTTAAGTGCTGCAGTCTTCTCAACAGAGAGTCCTTAAGCTCTCTGACGTCAGTTCGACGCCAATATTTTAAGTTCGTGCCGATTAAGTTGCTGATGTGTTCCCTTATGTCTCTCAAACACGCCTTCTTTTCTATATTTGACTGAAAAATAAAGAAATAAGATTGAAATCATAATGAACCTACACGGTCACACACAAGATTTACACGCGAAATACAGAACGACCCCTCTTCTCTTCTTATTTCGTAAACGCTTATGAATGTCCCAGCTGGGCAAAGGCCGCCTTTTGTATAGAATGTATCAGGGCATAGTCCACCACGCGGCCCCATTGCGGATTAGCAGACTTCACATATGTTCGAAATACTTTTTTTATTATTATTTTTATATAGAGCCGTGATAGCTCAGTGTCCGGGCGCTCGCCTTTAGTTCAATATACTCGAGCAACCTGAGTTCGATCCCCGGTGCCGGCACCAATGAAGTTTTTAAGTTTAAGTGCTGACTTATCACATGCTCCGCGGTGAAGGAAAAAATCGTGAGGAAACCTGCATATTTTCGAAATAATAACAAAAAAAAATATATTTCGAAGATATGTGAAGTCCGCCACTACGCAGTGGGGCCGCGTGGCGGACTATGCCCGGATGCCCTCTGTATAGAGGAGGGCTTTAACCCAGCAGTGGGACATGTATAGGCTGTTACTTTACTTTTTTACTTTTATTATTTCGAAAATATGCAGGATTCTTTACGATGTTTTGCTTCACCACTGAGCACGTGATAAGTAAGCTCTTAAAATTAACAATTTCATCGGTGCCGGCTGCGGGGATCGAGTTCAGGTTGCACGAGTATATTGAATTAGAGGCGTGCACTGAGCTATCACCCTACACAACACTACACTATAATTCCTATATTATACTATACTATACTACTATAGTACAGTACCGTGGCGGAGCAGAGAGCGACGCGGGCTCGCAAGTGGTGAGGGACGCCGAGCGAGCGCAGAGCTAGCGCCACCAGACCGCCGCTACTCACGCGCTCGGAAAGCGGGTACACGCGACTATCAGCCTCGCCGCTTCTGTACAAAATAAATTTGCCACTGTCACAGTCATGGCGAGTATTATTGCTCTTCGGATCGCACAAATACGCGTGGAAATCCAACACACAACACAACCCCAGGCGCCAAAGCGAATGGCATAGCAACTAAGCCACCTAGTCATCATTAGATGATATGTAAGTTTATTAAAATCAAACAAATGTTAAACAATTAAAATAAAAAAAAATACTCGCTGCTGCTCAGCAGCAAGTCAAATGGCAGCCGTACACAAATCAAATTAAATAAATAAAATAGCATGCGGCTCGATCGGACAAAATTTGGCAAGTAGGCAGATACCTCTATCTGCTCATAGAGTAATTAGAATTATTCAATGATTTCGGAGCGTTCAAGAGCGGCAGGGTCAACGACCTCGATCCGCGAGCTGAGGCTCAACCGTCGGAGCGGCGGGATCAACGCCAGATCCGTGAGCTCAGGCTCAACCGTCGGAGCGGCGGGGTCAACGCCAGATCCGTGAGCTCAACTGTCTGTGGCGATGACTAGCATCGCGGGGTAGAGGTGGGCGTAGAGATTAGAATTGTGAGCTTAATTTCCGCGGCATTCATGCCTGTGGTACCGGTGTGGTGGTGTGTGGACCGCGGGATCCGCGAGATCACCCGTCATCGACGAAGACCAGCATCGCGGTGTAGAGGTGCGCGTAGGGGGATTAGAATTACGACTTCAATGACAACGGAGCTTACGCGCGTGCCATTCCATCTAAGAGAGCGGGGTGAACGACCTCGTGATCCGCGAGCTCACCCGTCCGCGACGAAGACGAGCAGCGCGGGGTAGAGGTGCGCGTAGAGATTATAATTGTGAGCTTAATTTCCGCGGCATTCATGCCTGTGGTACCGGTGTGGTGGTGGGTCAACGACCTCGCGATCCGCGAGCTCACCCGTCCACGACGAAGACGAGCACCGCGGGGTAGAGGTGCGCGTAGAGATTAGAATTGTGAGCTTAATTTCCGCGGCATTCATGCCTGTGGTACGGTGTGTGGTGGTGGGTCAACGACCTCGGGATCCGCGAGCTCACCCGTCCGCGACGAAGACGAGCAGCGCGGGGTAGAGGTGCGCGTAGAGATTAGAATTGTGAGCTTAATTTCCGCGGCATTCATGCCTGTGGTAACCGGTGTGGTGGTGGTCAACGACCTCGCGATCCGCGAGCTCACCCGTCCGCGACGAAGACGAGCAGCGCGGGGTAGAGGTGCGCGTAGAGATTAGAATTGTGAGCTTAATTTCCGCGGCATTCATGCCTGTGGTACCGGTGTGGTGGTGGGTCAACGACCTCGCGATCCGCGAGCTCACCCGTCCGCGACGAAGACGAGCAGCGCGGGGTAGAGGTGCGCGTAGAGATTAGAATTGTGAGCTTAATTTCCGCGGCATTCATGCCTGTGGTACCGGTGTGGTGGTGGGTCAACGACCTCGCGATCCGCGAGCTCACCCGTCCGCGACGAAGACGAGCAGCTGCGGGGTAGAGGTGCGCGTAGAGATTAGAATTGTGAGCTTAATTTCCGCGGCATTCATGCCTGTGGTACCGGTGTGGTGGTGGGTCAACGACCTCGCGATCCGCGAGCTCACCCGTCCGCGACGAAGACGAGCAGCGCGGGGTAGAGGTGCGCGTCGAGGTGCGCGGGCAGGTCGTGGCGCGCGGCGTCGAGGCGCGCGGCGCGGGCGGGCACGCCGCAGCGCGACAGCAGCCGCGCGGCGCCGAGAAGCGCGCGCGACGCGTGCGCGCCGCACGAGCCCCCGCACACCGCCACGAGGCTCACCTGCAGCGGAGACTCCAAGCAATAACATACTATAATGGCGCCCACACGCTATGCCATAGCCCCGGCGAGTTCGGTACGGCGACCCGACCGGCGTGGGAAGTAGTGAACCGCGCCAGAGGGTGTGGGTTTGATCCCCACTACTGGAAAAATATTGTCTGATGTACGTGGTGTTTTTCCAGTGTTTATATATGTATAATATGTATTCATTTACAAATGAAAATTGCATTTAGGTATGTTTATCAATTTTCTAGTACCCATAGAACAAGCGGTGCTTAGTTTGGGAGAGCGATGTGTAAAAAAAAAATATGCTCTGTGGCAAGCGCGGCCGCACGGCAAAAGCCGTCGGCACAGTTTGTACGAAGATATATAATACGGCTACGGGAGGGACTTAAAACTTTTTATTATTTTATTATTAGTGTAATAATTCAAACACTCACTTCTAAGCTAGATATAAAAGTATTTAGTAATACAACTCTACCTTAGAGCCTTTTTTATTTTCACCAAACTTCATAAAATTGTTGGCAAGCGAAACTATTTTGGAAAAAGTCGCAGAATAACTAAGCATTAATTTATTTAATTTGCTTACTATGAAGTACTACACTTGTCGAATCTTCCAATAGTTGAGGAGAACTTTACGACTACGTCTATGACTTAATAGTCATTGAGCACCTCTTGACTATTTTTACTTTTCTTTCAAGAAATTAATATAACTGTGAAAGCGTATAGGGTAGTCAAACCACAATTGAACATTTCACATTCGTCGTGTGCTTCATACATATAACACATTTCCATCGAGTGGTACGATCGATCACCAATTCTGCCTCGGCAATGTATGAAAGGCGTGCTACTGAACAAAGCATACGAACTAGATTGATCGGTGTACAGCATACCGTGCCCGGAGCGGTCACGAAGCGCCGGAACGTTCGAGATGTGAGATCGGCGACGCCGATGACGTCATCGCCGCCGATGACGTCATTCAGCCCGTAGTAGTGTGTGTGCACGGCGTCCGCTACCTGCGTGCGCAGCGACCGCCTCAATTCGTTGCGCGTGTAGTTGTAAATAAAGTCCCTTATCGATTTTGCGCTGTACTCCTCCGCGAGAACATACTGGCTGCCGTGCTGGAATAAGGATTAAAGGAAGGAAGTTTTATGTGGCGAATTTGTGATAACTTGTGATAACAGTGTATGCAAAAAAAACAATGATTCAGATTTGTTTTATACTAGCTGGGCATCGGCGAATATTAAGTTAAGATTTCTTTGAATCGTACTTATATTTTTTTTGTTATAGTTTTTAATAAATATGCATGTCTTGTGTTCGGAATCATGGCGCTAAAGTCTTGAATGACAAATCATCAATTTATTGAGCTTCTATCAGTGAAAAGCTGTAATTGGTTGTCTTGTTATTATCTTGTTTTCTTATTTATGTTGTATAAGCTGTTGGTTCTCAAGTGTATGGTGTTTAATGAGTGATCGTAAATTCAAATAACCACACATACACTGTAAAACAGTATCCGATCACAGTAACTCTACTAATTATTTAAAACGAACATTTTGCAAATCATCAATATCAAAGATTTTTCATTCAATAAAGACGACAATTTCTCAATTCATTCATGTAACTGTACAGGTCTTTACAAACTATATTGGCGAATGTACAAATGGATTAAGACCGTTTGTTGTATTATCAGGTTGTTAATTTGTAATCAACGATATTCGCTGCCAATTTTAAAGACTACAAATTCGCGGTAGGGCCACCGGAGGAATTATTACAGCCTCAAAGAAGACAGACGTGAAGCGGAAGTATTACACTTTCGTGTTTCGTCTGGTGATGTAGGTAACCAGGGCCCACTTTTTCAACCTTCTTCATCTGCAACGTGTCACATCGTAGAAGGCCATGGGCGGAGGTAATAGCTTATTAAAGGTATTTTTCAGTGAGCAAACTTTCATATTTTTCTACATATATTAATTAACTTTCATATACTCAAGTAAAACTTAGTTTATAACACTGCACATTACTTAAGTATTTGATTTAGGTACAAACCATAATAATGATATAATAAACATACATACTTATAACATATCAAGAATCATAAATACTTTGACAAATGTATCAACTGTTAGTGAAAATGTTCATAAAAATTCAACGATAAAAAGCACGTTATCAGTTTTTAGTTTTTATCGTGTAATATCACATCCAGCGCGTGTTCTAATATCTATGATAATTATAGTATTAGAGTTGTTAGTGCAGATAATATCGAATGCAGCGCTTACTTGTTTGCATACACGTTTGTATTACTTGAACAGCCAAATCTTTAATACGATAGGACTGACACTGGCTATCAGACGTCATTGGATAATCCCGCATTTTTGTCTTCGTAAGATAACCGACCTTAAATGAAAGGGTTATGTGGGGTTTTTACCCACTAAAACCGCAAGTCGAGCCCGAGACTCGAATCGAATCCCGCCTAGTAGCTAATGAAGACAGGCTTAACCTATCACGCGGATGACGTATCCAACCACCCACCCCGTCAGCGTCTACCGTCGATAGCTCACCCTGCTGTCCAGTATGACGACCGCGGTCATGTCCTTCTCCCTCGCGATGTCTATGCCCAGCGCCTCGGGGAAGTGGTGGTTCTGCACGCTGTCTACGGCGATCATGTGGAGGCTGGTGTTGCCCGTGCACGAGAGGCCGTCAATGTGCGTTATGTTCCCACCGGTCACTTTCGCGGGCGATATCGGCGGGCCCAGCTCAGCGGCGAAGCGGCTCAATCGGCAGAGGTGCTCCACATTCCCCTGTATTAGACCCTCCGCCGACAGGGGGTCGTCTTCGCGCGGCAGCATCGTCGTTCCGACGCTGCAATTGCGATTGGTACGTCACAACCAGGGGATTTAGGGGTCGGGGGCCGGATTTAGGGGAGGTCAACCGGGGCAACAGCCCCGGGGCCTCCACAAACAACCCCTCGTAGATACCCCCCCCCCCCTCAATAGAGACTTCGGCAAAAAAAATCAAATTTATACTAATAAAAAACTTTTCCTTTCATATTTTTTTGTCGCGCTTTATTTTCACTTGTTTACATTTTCACGTGATTACATTTAATATTAACAGAAATCAATAGAAAATGGCCGAGGGGCCACCACTCCTTTGTTGCCCCAAAGCCTCCAGACCTCTAAATCTGGCCCTGGTCACAACGTGCGTTTTTGTCGGGGGTAGGGCCACGCAACACTCTCGGCACCAGTCAGCAGGTCAGTCCGGATAAGTAGCACGATTTCACAAAGACCGGCGTGAAGTGGAAGTGTTATAATCACGCGTTTCGCCTGGTGAGTGAGATAGCCCATTCTTTAATGGTTGGCAATGCATCAGCAACTCGTCAGGTGTTATAGATGTCCGTGGGCGGCGGCATACAACTTTATCATATCATAATATTGATTAACATAAAGTTTTAAGTGGGGATGCTTAAGCTTCAGTTAATGACAGCAGTCAATTTCGGAGATGGAATATCGACTAAATCGTGGGCAATTCACAATTACAAAACAAGTAAGCTGTGAAAGAATTACTAACATATGGCGGCAAATACATTACCATAAATCTTGTTGAATTGTACTATAAATATTAGTTTTATCAGAGTCCTATGACATAAGATCAGATGGATAAACTATTGTTAAAAACATTGAAAAATTTAAACAAAATAAAATCAACTAATAACGGTTACACACTCCACCGGTACTGCTTTTGCAGTACCAGATTAGATAAGACTAACTAGATGAAGTAACATAATTGATCTATGAAAATTTACATATTTAACTAACAGAATCTTTAAACTCACTTTTCCTTATCTGTATCCATCTTAGTTATTTTGCTATCATTATCTTCAAACAAATGACACTGTTCATAGTTATCATAGAAATTCTTTTCTGCAGGCAAAAGTTTTTTACTGCATTCATCTAATATGCTTAAAGAAGACCATAATGGCATATTGTCATCACTACTTTGCAAACCTTTCGTTATTGCTAGGCCTTGTTTTAGTATAAAATTGAATAAATCATTTTTCTGATTCTTTTGCGTGACATTATTCCAAGGATATTTATTGTTACTTGATACAATTTCCTTTTTATACAATTTACTTTGTTTCCTTATGGGTTTCTTAACCTTGTACTCTTGACAGAACTTGTAAAAGTTTTTCTGCTGGTATATAAGTCTCTGCACCTGCTGTAGTTTTATCAATTCTGCAATCCATTGGTTGGTGTCATTATTTTTACAATTGTAATATTCCATGGCAACTTCTCGTAGCTACAAAACAATTATTGAATTTTAAATTATTTAGGAAATCAAAAAAAAAATATTCTGTTGAATGTCTTAAACAGTTTATGATTTTTAATGTGGTCTGAATCTGATGACTGTTTCAAATTGTTTCCTACTTACCAATGAATAGGAAGGTAATTGCTCATACATTGGATTGAGGGGAGTAAAGAGCAATAACATTGGGCTACCATCGGCATATCTTTCAAAGCTGAATGACTTTTTCCACATTGGTATTATTCTTGCTACAGGCTGTGAAAAATTCTCCAACACCCATTGCATCAGAGTTGATTCATTCCATGACCGGTTTTCATTTTCTGTTTTAAATTCCTCATAAAATAAAAAGAAAATCCTTAAAACATATTCTAATAAACAGCAAAAAGAAATGAAAAAAAAAAGCTTTAGATTATTTAACATGCCTACCACATATGCATGTAAAGTATATGCATTTTTAAGTAAACAAATTACAATCCATTTAATGACAAACATTTAATCACATTCATGATAAATAAACTCTTGCAAAGAAAAATGGGCACCCATTGTTACAATTTTATTATTAATATTAATTTATTTGATAATATTAGTTAGATTTATTCTCATGATTTTATAGATTAATTGGCAAGGAGTTCATGAGTTTTATCATATTATTTAGATTAAATATGATAATGGTAAATAATGTTAAAGTTCAAAGTTCTAGAGTAGTGTAAGAGGTTTGGTGAATAAAATTGAAAAAAGTCTTTGTTTTTTTTTTCAGACATGTGCACTCCATACATGCAAAAAAACATTGCTTACCCTGTCGCCCCATACAAACATGCCCAAAACACCTAAAGCCATGAGTTAAACTAAAGCACTATTAATGTGTTAGAGGAAAATTATCAGTAACATCTATTACTGATAATTTTCCTCTAACACATTCCATGTTTTTTGAGTTAGGCACCAGTTGTGAGATATTTAGGCTAATAAACTTTTTATATTAATAATGATCAACTTTACATAGGAATTCGCGCCATAAAATGCAGTATAATTTTTATTTTTTTCAACCAGCCTTGGTCAGATTTTGAATTTATAACATACTTTTTTAAGCACCAAATTGATTTGGTGCTTAAGTATTTTTTAGGCAGGAAAAAAGGCACCCATTTTTTTTTCCGCAAGTAAGTATTTTATATTGCTAATCTCTGCACTGACAATGAAACAATCAAAATTTTCTGAAAAATTTTACAAATTAATATGATTTTGAATAACAAAATGTGGATTTTAATTATAAGTTATAATTTGAAACAAGACAATGCTGCATATGTCCGCAATATTAAACACATTATTTTACATGTCAAAAATTAAATACTAACAACACTAATAGAAGGAAATAAACAAACAATACTAAAGTAATTTACCTTTGTGTCGTTCCAGAGCATGAGTTGAGCATTGGGCAAACTCTCTACACCTAGGTCCACTGCAAGTTCCGCTGATGTAACAACAGCAAAACATATCTCACCAACTGTGTCAAACTCATGTGACTTTAGTGCAACATTGTACCATACATTATAATATTTTGAAGTATCTGTTAATGGTGTATAAGCTACTGCCACAGCCTGTAATAAAAAAATATATACTAAACTTTTTTTACATTTATCTCAATTAATTCTAGCAACTATATGAAATACAAAACATCAAATAAAATAGTGTTAAAAATCAATGGACTTTTTTTGTTTTACCTACATCAATCATACTGATATTAAAAATATTCTCGCAATTTATATATAATATTATAACTTTTCTTAATTAATCTTAGTATAATCTTAATGTGGAACCTACTACCTTACTAACCTAAAAAGACACCTTTTTAGGTTAGTAATAACTTTGTAGGTGCTTATAAATTCACTAAATGCACCATCTTAAATGTATCCAGGGTACAAATTTTTAATTAAAATAAATAATTACTTTAAAAAAAACTTTTAAGTTAAACGGTTTTATTTTATGTTTTTTTTTTTGTTAATTTTTTTTTTGTAAATATTGTATTGTCATCTAAATTAAATGTGTGTACCAAATTTCAGATCAATCTGACAACGGCAAGGTGCTTAAATTCCAATTTCTAATTTTGACCCAAATAAATAAACAAACAAATTCCGTACGGGTCGAGCTAAATAAAACCGTCTAAAAATAATACATATAACATTGATGGTACTAACATCATAAATAGATAATAAGTTAACTAAGTCTTCCGTTGAAGATACTCTTTCCAAAGGCTTCATTACTAATCCTAAAAAGTGGACCATGTGGTGTGCATCCCTCGGTCCTAGAATAAAAAATATTATCATAAACATTTTAATAAAATGTAGAAGTTATAAAACTGTAGCTTCTTATGATTCAATATAAAACTTTGATACTTATAAATAGACTTATAATTCATTTTAAAATTTACCTTTATAAAGAACTCCTCTTGAGTTAACCGTATATGCCATTAAAATAGGCCAAGAAGGTATCTTGTTGTGTTGTAATCTGCATTCGCTGCCTGGGTTCCAACAATTAATAGCTGAAAAATGAACCTGTACACAAACAATAAATAAATTCATGTTTAACATGTGTATATTGTTTAATATATATTATGTTATCAAGTACCTGACTAACAATATAACATGATATAGTTAGTTAGTTTTGACTATAAAATTAATCATGTAAGACTGCAAAATACTGTAAATCAATATAATCTCCCACAAAACCAAATGTTAATAATACAAATCCAATTAAAAATGACCTTTATAAAAGCAACAAGAGCACTAAGCAAAAACAAAATGTACTATCAAAAATGAAAAACTTACATCAATTTCATCATTAACTTAATTTCTATTAAGATACTTGAGTTCTGTTTCTGAAACACTGATCATCGTAGAAGTTAACAAATCAGCTGTCAAATGCCTTTTCAAACGTCTTTTTAGTTACCAAAAGGATGGTTAAACATTAACATTGATCAGTGTTTCAGAAACCAGGTGTTAGACTATAGCCTTAACCAATATAAATATATTTACCCGATCATTAAGGACATTTGCTGCCTTTTCAAATTCACTTCTTACATGTTGAGACTCTGCATCCCATGGAGCATAATACATAATAAAAGATACATCTGCTAGGTTGACAGCTGCTAGTGCATTAGCAAGTTGTCCCCTATACCAATCTGTCACAACAGATTCAGAGTCAAAAAATCTCACTGCTTGTGGGTGTTTAGAAACTTTTGATGGACTGCAAAGAAGTAATTGTTATTAATTTTCATTAAAACTTGTACTGGTATAACTAGATCATATAAAAGTAATAATCTACTCTATTATATGACTGATTGATACTCATGACATTGTTAATTAAACATTTTTTTATATTAAATCGTATTCAACAAGTAAAGAGTAAAATTTGATATTTTTTATCAGAAGCTTACGTATTGTGAAGCGCTCCGTAGGTAGTCAACGCTAAGGCAATGCAGAAAACTAGCTCCTTAATCAACATGTTTACAGTTATGTCCCGGTTATTGCTTTGTATCGCCACTTGAGAATTTTCAGATGAGTCTCGTACATCGCTAGTTAGATTATGTTTTTCTTTTAATGACGTGACCTGCGAAATATCTTCAGAGTCCACCGTTGGAATCATTACACGTCATTCGTAAAATAATATTGATACTGAAATAATACTTTCTATGAAATAAAATAGATTCTCATTTTTAAGTAATATAAGCGTTTGTATATTTTTATTATTAACCCTTCGTTTCAAAAAACACAAAGTTTATTTAAAATCCAATTTTGTACATCATTTTGTCAATAATACTTACAATAATTGTCATTGTCATTATAATTCTATATTTATTGGTTGATGGTTGACGCCTGACGGTTGTAGATGTAAATAGGCATGGTCAAAAATATCGATGTATAAAAATATCGATATTTTTGCATACATCATAATCATCATTATTTCAGCCTGTTTGAGTCCACTGCTGAACATAGGCCTCCCCCATAGACTGCCATGAAGTACGATCCTGAGCCACCTGCATCCATCGACTTTCCGCACATTTGCACAGGTCGGCACTCCATATATTGGGGGGTCGTCCTACACTGCGATGGCCAGTACGAGGCTGCCACTCGAGAACCTTTCTTCCCCAACTGTTCTCGGTTCTACGAGCTATACGGCCGGCCCATCGCCACTTCAGCTTGCTAATCCTCTGAGCTATATCGGTTATCTTGGTTCTACTGCGGATGTCTTCGTTACGAACTCTATCACGCAAAGAAATACCCAGCATAGCCCGCTCCATAGCTCGGTGAGCGACTTTGAACTTCCTCATACGGGATTTTGCATACAATTACCAATATATATCGTCAATATTTTTATCGCGATATATCGATTTTCGATATTAATTTTAGACTATCGAATTCGTGTCCATTTCGATATATATTTAACGCAACTCTGGTTTCGTGTTTAATGCTAATAGATACTCTCCGCGTGCTCCTCGCGCATCATTCACTTCAAAAACTCGTTTCTACTATTTTCTTCATATCTATTCTATTGAGCTGTGATAGCTCAGTGTCCGGCACCCTGAGTTCGATCCCCGGTGCCAACACCAATGATATTGTTAATTTTAAGTGCTGAATTATCACGTGCTCAGCAATGAAGGAAAACATGGTGAAGAAGACTGCATATTTTCCAAATAATAATGAAAAAAACAATATTTCGAACATAATATGTGAATTCCGCCAATTCGCAGTGGGGCTGCGTGTTTGACTATGCCCTGATAGCCTCTGTACAGAGGAGGCCTTTGGCCAGCAGTGGAACATGTATAAGCTGATACTTTACTCTATTATTCTATTTTACTTATTTTGAAAATATAAATGAAACTAATTTTACGGATTTATCGCGTTTATTTTTAATTTTAATTCCCGACGTTTCGAACCCTTTACAGCGTTCATGGTCACGGGACATGACTGATAGACGTCTGATTGTCATAGTTAACCCGGGCTCCGTCAGTTTTTGAATTATTAATTTTGTCCGATCTATGCAGAGGGAGCTAATTGTATCTTGTCTTGCAGTAGTGGTTCGTTTGGGCCTAGAGTTGATTTTGTTGTTGACAGGATCCCAAGCTGATGGTATACCCAACCTTCTTCTCTATTGAAATTAGGGTGTTTTTTTTAATTTCAATAGCCTCGCGAATCATCCTTGGGGGGGAATCGGTGTTCTTTTGCAAGGATCTGTGGTTTGTCAAACCTGATGTATTCAAAATGTGCTCACAAACTGCAGACTTTGTTCAATCTATTGTGTTTGATGTCAGCTATATGTTCTTTCACGCGGGTTTTTATTGCTCTTTTCGTTTGACCTTTGTACGAGAGCCCACATTTACAGTCAAGTTTTACACTCCTGGATCTTGCAGAGGGATATTACACTTGACAGATGGTAAAAAACTGACTAATTCAGCGGCTTGTAGAATGTATTAATTGAAGCCTGCTTTAAAGATATAGCCAATCTTTGTCGGTGACTCCTCTGACGTATGGTAGAACAGCAGGTACTCGCTCCACTTGGCTGGTTTCACTCGGGTCACTTGACGTAGGCGCGGTGCTCGAAGCTTGTTGTCATGCAGAACTTGCTTGACATGTTGAAGCTCAGCGGCCAGGTGTTGTTTGTCACAGATCCCTTGTGCTCTCTGAAACAAAGATTTTACCCACGGTAGCTAACTGGGATGGATGGTGGTGAGAATCACCGTTTAGGTATCTATTTTGTATGGGTTGCCTTCCTAACACAGTGTGACTTACAGTGTTATTTGGATTGCGGATGACCAAAAAAACATCTAAGAAAGCTAAAGAGTTATTATGCTCTAATCCATAGTGAATTGTATTTTGGAATTTACTGAGTTAAGGTGGTTTAGAAATGCATTAACTTTACTTGTTGGTAAAATGGTGAAGGTGTCATCTACATACCTCTTGTAAAACCTTGGATAAATGGGAGCTGTGCGAAGGGCCTTCTCTCTCAAAGTCTTCCATAAATATGTCAGCGACATGGGAGATACTGGGCAGCCCATTGCTACACCATCTATCTGTATGTAAAATTCCTCCTTCCAAAGCAAGTAGCCGGATGTTAGGCAATGTTTAAGTAGTAATGCATACTCTTCCGGCATGTTATTCTCTTTTAGCTTTCTTGTTACAATTGAGATGCAGTCTTCTAATGGTAGGCATGTAAATAAAGACTGTACATCAAAACTGACCATTGTTTCATTGTCAGCAAGACTAGTTGTTTTATCTCACTAACAAAATGGTAAGAATCCTTTGTGTATGCCCTTGTGTGTCCTCTCAGTGGTGAGAGAATTCGTACTAGATGTTGAGCCAGTCTGTGTCGGGAATTAAAATTAAAAATAAACGCGATAAATCCGTAAAATTAGTTTCATTTAAAATGTGTAATCGCGTAAATACAAGAAATTATTTTGAAAATATTTATAAATTATTAAAAACAAGACGATATGTCGACATTTCAATATTTTTCGCTCGATAATTATCACAAGAAAGATCAACTAAAAATTTTATTACACGTGTTTTAGTGTACTCTTTGTTTGTGAAAAATGGTAATAACGTAAAGTTGCTTGCTTTATATTTAGCTTCGCTTCATCATGACGCTTTTCGATTATCGGTTTGCGCATCGTAAAACTTGTACTTTCATATCAAAATCAAAATCAAAATCAAAAATATATTTATTCAAATAGACGCTTGCGCGCTCTTATGAATCGTCAAATTGTACATCAAAGATTATTTATATAGGTTCGTAAGGTACCACCGGTTCGGAAAGCAGTTTCTGTTGAGAAGAGACCGGCAAGAAACTCAACAGTTGCTCTTTTTCAAAAATATTAGGGTACAATATAATATACAGGTATAATAATAGTCTTATTCTAGCCTACGTGAGTATCAACAGTATTAACTCCACACATTGGCGTCGTCGAGATATTCCAAAATTGTATAATATGCTTAAAATGGTATAATATGCTTTAATCATTAGTTGATTTTTAATTTTACATTTAAATTGGTCAAGTGGCAGACTTAATATCGACTGTGGGATTTTATTATACATGCGCACACTTTGCCCTATGAACGACCTATTTACTTTTTGTAGACGAAACAATGGTGTAGTAAGTTTGTCCTTATTTCTAGTGTTTATTTTATGTCTGTCACTATTCTAATAATAATAATAATAGATTAAGGTTATGTCGTATATACAAAATATTACAATAAATGTATTGAGAAGCAACAGTGATTATATTAACCTCTTTGAAAAGATCTCTGAGTGAATTCCGGGCTCCGATATTGTAGATTGCTCGAACAGCTCTTTTTTGAAGAATGAATATGGAATTTATATCTGATGCACTACCCCACAACAAAATGCCGTACGACAAGATGCTGTGAAAATAACTAAAGTAAACAAGTCTGGCAGTGTCGATGTCTTTTAGCTGCCTAACCCTTCTAATCACAAAAACAGCGGAGCTCAGCCATAATTTTTAAAAACACATAAAACTTCAAAATAATGTTGTGATTAACTGCATAGGCGGGCTACCATGTTTTTAAAATAAAATAATGTATTTAATATTGTATATCTCTGTATATTTTAAACTTGTTGTTTAAAAAGCCAATCAAAACTATATTTTTAAATGGCCAGTACTGAAGAACGGCAAGTTCGTAAGTAAAGACCTATTCTATTAAACTCTCTCTCTCTCTCTCCCCTTTAGGTAATATAATAGGGATGGGTTATACTTGCTAAATCGCGTACCAGGTCATAAAAGTACTTCCACCTTCTCATACCAGGGACAAAAACCAGGTATCAAAATACTTTCAAAGTATTTTCTGTTAAACGCAACCTTGTTGCTATACACATAAGATTCAAAATATTCCAATCAAGACGTAAAATACTTTGAAAGTATTTTACTTCACGTATAAGGACAATCGGAACGTTATATGAATGCACATAAGTTATTTAATCAAGTGATAGCCGTGATAGCTCAGTGTCCGTACGCTTGCCTTTAATTCAATATACTCGAGCAACCTGAATTCGATCCCCGGTGCCGGCACCAATGAAGTTTTTAACTTTAAGTGCTGATTTATCACGTGCTCCGCGGTGAAGGAAAACATCGTGAGGAAACCTGCATATTTTCGAAATAATAACAAAAAAAAATTACATTTCGAAAATATGTGAAGTCCGCCAATCCGCAGTGGGGCCGCGTGGTGGACTATGCCCTGATACCCTCTGTATAGAGGAGGCCTTTGTCCAGCAGTGGGACATGTATAGGCTGTTACTATTTAATCAAGTGAGAGAGATATACCAGAAGAGACCGATATACATTGCTTCGCCATCGCACGGCGCACGCTGTCGATTCGTTCGACGTTCGAGTTCGATCGACGTAGTAATACTTACTTTGAAGGGCTCGTATACTTTAATAGAAAAATACTCTCAAGTCTTGTAAGTATATCGGGTTGGTACCTGGTTGGTATTTGGTATACTTGCAAGGAAATACCTGGTAACGTAAATACGTAAATCTCTAAAATAAAATTAGATGTAGTCAAAAAGTCGTTTGAGATATCCATAGACAAATAAATTGAAAGGTTCAAATTTTTAGTTTTTTAGTCTGTGTAATTATTTGATGCCTTGTTTTGGTCCAAACGAGGAAGTTGTGTCACAATTTTGCGCTTTAAATTTTATTGGCTGATTTTTAATATTCTAACAAAAGGTCAAAAGAATATATATGGCACTATATGGTTGTTAACGATTATCATACATACAATAGTATTCAATTAAACCAGTTTGTCAATAGTTTTGTGCGAAGTTCTAATTAACGCAAGTCCGAAAAAATGGAACCACCAAGACAATTAGAAACTGATACGGTAGAGTATTGGAGACAGCAAGCTAAATATTATGAGCAAAAGTAAGGATATCATACAATTCCGAATTTCTATCAATGCACTTAGTTCTAATTATGAATTAGAGTATATTACAATTTTAATGTTTGCAGAGTTAACGACATTCAACAAGAACTGGATGAGTATACAGAAAATTCAGCTCAGCTTGAAAAAGAGTTAGAAACATCTTTAGTTCAAGTGGAAAATCAAAATAGAGATTTGAAGCACCAAAATCAACGTTTCAAAAATGAGATCGAGATTCTAAGGGTATGTTTATTTTATATGGTTTACGTTATGCGACATCGAGAAAAACGATTTGTTAAGACAGGTTGGCCTTTTTTACACGTTTTTATTAACTTGTATTTTGTATCGGAAACTTTTGAACAAAAATACAAGTTTTCAAAATTCTGTAAATTATATGCTGATATTTTATAAATATTCTGAAGTTCTGGTTCTTTTCTTTTTCCAAAAAAGAATCGTATGGTAAATTTTAACGGAATAACAAAAGTAGTAAAGTAATATTGCAAATAAATTGATTATAAGCACCACAAGATTATTTAAAAATGTAAGCTATTATAAGGTTTATATTCGTTTTTCTAAAACATCAAAATATTTCAAACTAAAGGCCACATGGGAATTAAAACATATCTTTGTTAAAGCTTATCATTACTTTTAAATCTTTGTGAAAACACTATTAACCAAGTAATACCTACATTTGTTTATCTACGAACATTTATAATTTATAGTTTCATCTTCAGTGCAGAGACTGCACTAAAAATAAAATTTAATCTTTTAAAAAATTATCTATATTGTTAATATCTCTACTAATTATATAACCACAAAAACATTTAGTATATAAGATGTCAAAAAAGAAACATACTGTCAGTGTTAGCTTATTTGTTTAGTTTAATGTTCTAACTAATGTCAACAAAACAATGAGATTACAAACAATTTGATAAATTACTATAGATTTTAGTACCTCAATTTAGTTTCTTTGGGAACATTGGTTACTGGACACAAAAAAAATGTGTGCAATATATTTTTATTACAGAAAAAATTGGAACGAAGTCAACACGAAACTAATGCACTAGAAAGTGAATTACAAGCTTTAAAAATTGAGAAAGAAAAGCAAGCAACTTATATACGAGAAATTGAACAGAAAAATGATGACCTGGAAAGAGGACAAAGGCAAGAATTTAAATTCTATATTTATATTTAGCTTGTAGATATTGCTCATATGAAAATCATTGTCATTTGGCCTTTTAAATTGTACAAAAGATCTTGATTTGTTGATAATAAATAATACAACTTAACTTAAGCATACAACCAAAATAGTGTATATTATTTTGGTTGTATGCTTTATGTAATAGAACTAGGTTACTGTATGTTGTCTTGGTATTTTACTTTTATTAATTTTCATTAATTTTATTTGAAGATAAGGCGGTCCTATGTTTAGGTACATTTGTATACTAATTTTGAAAAAATGTTCAGGACTACTGATATATGTATAAAATAAAAATAATAATAATTTGTAAATTTTACTTAAATTTCAAATATTTCCAGGGTAATAACAGAGTCTGTGTCATGTATAGAAGCATTATTAAATCAAGCATATGAAAGAAATGCTGTCTTAGAAAGTGAGGTAGATGAAATAGAAAATTTGAGAGTAAAACTTCAAAGAGCAACTGATGAAGCTAGAGGTAATAGTTGAACAAGAACTGTACTCACACTAACAATTTGTTTGAAACAATATTAAAATACATATTTCGTTTGTAGACCTTAAACAAGAGTTGAAAGTCATAGAAAAGGTTCCAGATTATAAAAAAGAAGATGGGAGCATAGAAGAAAGTGTGTGCAATGGCCAGATATCAAATACATCTAGAACCCAAGTTGAAATTGAAACCCAAACATCAATATCATCACCTCAGAAAAGTAAGTAGAGGTATGAAAGAGAGTTTAAAACATTCTAAATCCTTGTTTTATCTAATATTTTCTGCTAACAGGAGAAATCAATGGCAACGCCATGACACCTTCTTCCCGAGTAACAGCAATAAATATAGTTGGAGATCTACTTAGGAAAGTAGGGGTGAGTGAATCATACATTTTTATTTTATTTACAGTGGTAGTAGCTACAATATTAGTAGTAGGTTATTGGAATAATAATATAATTAAAAAAGTGAAAAAAAAATTGACATTAGAATATGGTAACATAAATTATAACAATAACTTATGAATTTTTTAGTACTTATTGTAATAGAATATATTATTTTTGTATGTATTTACATATATTATCTATTTATATATGTATAGAACAACTATGTACCTATAAATATTTGTAGGGAAGGTAGTGAATTTTAATAAAGAATTAGCATAATATTTAAATTCTGAGTTTTATTGTAGATTGTTTTACATCAATATTATTTTGTTTGGTTTTGAATTAATACTCCAAATAGTAATAATTTTTAAAAAAATCATTCATTAAACTGAGCTATTGTTATATGAATGTACTAAGAACTGAATATTTTTGAAAATAAATTTGGAAATTGTACATTGTTTTAACATACATAAATTGTTGTTGCTTATATTTTAGTTGTTACTTAAATGAATAAGAGTTCAAATCCATGTCAATACTTTTTTATTAATAATTTTGTACACAAAGAAAATATTTTTAAGTAGTTGACTCCAATTAACTTTTTTACATCTCACATTGCTATAGACAAATATTTTCATCATTTATTTATACCACTCAGTAAATCTACAAAACTATAAACTTTTATTTTTATAATTTTATCACAATTATCATGGAAAATTCAGTATATCAGTTTCTTTCATAGAGCTTGAAAATGTCTGGCAAAAAATGCTGCAATTCTATTTTGAAACTATGGATTAGATATTAGTTAGATTAAAATTCAAATAAAATAAGTTAATTTGACATGTAGATATGAATGATATGATGTGATATTTTTTTATTTCTTTAAAAAAAATGTCATATACATATTTATAATTTGCTGTCAATTATATATATATATATATAATATCACACATTTGTAAAGACTCCTGTCTTTCGAAATCGTAATTTTTTTTCTCAATTTCTGTTCAAAATTCTTTAATACAAATCTTAATATTTCACTAATTTAAAAATATATATTAGTCCCTCCTTTAAAGAAGTTTACTTTATGTTTTACTTTTTATTTAATTTCGCTCATTTCAATTATTGCACTTAATAAAATCTTATAACTTTCAAGAAAAGTGTTAATTGCAATTATGATTATGATTATAAAATCTCTAAGTGGTCCAAAGACCTCCAAAAAGTTTAAAACATAATCATTAGGTATATACAGAGTGTCATTACAACTGCGACAATAAATGAACACACGTCTAACGCTACTTGCCAATAATCATAAAAAATACAAAATTAGAAAAATCCATAATAAAAAAAATAATAATTTTCAAACAAATTAATTAAATAAAAAAGAAACAAAATTTGTAATATTCTCTACAGTTACAACTGACTGATTCATAACATTCAGAGACTTTTTAATTCGTTGCCACAGTATGGCGTTATAAGTCTCTCCGTCTAACAGTATGTTTTATCTAAAAAGTGCGTATTTTTGGGCAACTCATTTATTTCACGCGCGATCATTCATAGTTATGAACGAAAACACGCACACAAGTTCATTCCAAAAGTATACGACGCATTTATGAATGACTACCGCATTGTCAACAAGTTCTGTTTTTCAGGGAATGAATGGCAATTTTTTTGAAAAAAAAAGGTTTATTTTTATTTTAATAAACGATTATACTACCGAGTCTGAACCTCCTGTGTGAATTTGGGAACCAACCTATATGTGTGTTCATTTATTGTCGCGGTTTTAACGACACGCTGTATAATGTTAAGTATGTATGCACAAGTATTGTGTAATATACAAACTGCTATTCAAATGTATATTTTATTTGCTTTAATTTGCTAGTAAGATTAATATGCATAAAAGAAATATTACATTAGGTAAATGGTAGTCTTGTAATTTTTAAAGCATGGAGAAGCATTAAAGAACTCGATTATTAATTTGCATGGTTGTTGTAATGTAGTATAGTGTGCATGATATTTATTGCTTCCAGCTTGAAAGATTTCTTTGCCGTGAATGTGGTAAGGTCAAATGCTCATGTGAATCAACTATAACTGTTGAGCACCACTACACACAAGCAGAAAATGTAGCCAAAGCAAATGAGTTTAAAACAGAATTACATGAAGAAGATGTTGTGGAGTATCGTAACCCAAAACAATTTGTAAATCAATTAACAAAACCTGAACAGCCCAATGATTCATCACAGAAAAGTCTGAAACAATACACACACAAGTCCTCTGAACAGCCATTCGAAAGACCTAGTCTCAGTGAAAATAAGCTAAGAAGATCTTTTGCAGTGCGGTCTAGAGAAGGGCTAGAGAACTTGTTTAATTTCACTGCTCTTAGAAAAGTACAGGAACAACCAAAATCAAAGCAACAAGGCTTGTAAAAGCATAATTGTTCATGGGTTATTTAAAATTTATCCACTAAAGTCAATTGGTATACAGCTAAATGGCCATAGTCTTACAACTAAAATGTATTGTAACAGCCTTGACATGTATAGTGTAACATTAACAGACATATATGTTAAGATATAACAATAATTACATTATAAACTTAATGTTGTACATTTTAATATCATAAATATTGGTGCTAAATTTTTATTATTATATTACATTAGAGTAATATTCTGATTATGAAGCAGAATGTTCAAAATTGTAATACCAACTAAGAGAATTTTTAGTGTTATCAATGAATCTGTACTGAATATTTAGCTATGGAGTTATGTAAATAAATTAACAGACTTACGCCCGGTTTCAGAAACCGGGTGTTTATATCAAATTTTTATTTAGATATTAATAATGTAGCTTTGTATAAACTCTTAGCTGTAAATAGTTAATTTTTCTTTTACTTCTTTTACTTTTATATATAGTAATTATATTGAATATGTGCCAGGTGATGGGCTGACAGAGCTTACAATCTCTATCATTTACTAATATTAACATCATTCATGTGAATTTTCTTCCTTGTAGGCTTTGGAATCCAAATTAGCATCGTGTCGTGGTACAGTTAGACCTAAAGAGCATTCACCAAATCAAGGCTCAGATGTCAATAAGGACTACAGGTGTGTACTCAAGAATTAAGAATAGCCGAAAACCATCTCGTCGACAATTAATTGCGAGTAGCAATATGGTGTTAGCTATTGTAGTATTAATACAAAATATTCTTATAATGGCTTCAAGTACACACATTGATCTGATGTAAAATGTACATATTGCTATCAATATGACATTTTCCTAATTGACTTATATCTGTGATGAATAAGAAATAATTAAGGGAAAATTTGTATATTGGTAATTTTTTTTGGCCTACCCACCGGAGATTTGCAGTGCATTGCAGCAAAATTTTACAGGCTTGCTTTATACACTGTTCAATTACAGGAGTTATATCCTTCCTACTATTCTTATAAAGTCGTTTAACAGTGGGAATTCACAATGTCTTAATCTTTACCATTAACTTCAAAAACCAAACAAGATATTGCACCCATGAAATGAGGGTTTTAAACCCTCATAACTATTTAAGGTGAAAATAAGTATTTTGGAAAAATGATTTTATGTAAATATTAAGTGTAAAGGTATTGTCTATATAACTGTTAAAATTATAAATTTTTTATCAACTTGGATAGTATTAAATTATTTTGATTTCAATAATTAATGAATTCAAAAAATAAAAATTGCAATAATATGTGTTACATCTAATAATTAGATTAATTTTCGTATGTTTTTTTCGTTAACTAAGTATGGTTTAAACAAATGACTCACATTTATAGCTAATAAAATATTTTGGAGAGATATATAAAAATAGGTTCAGAATATACAATACATATAGAAATCATGGCTTAGCAGAAACATTTTCAAAGGTACACACCTAATCCTTTAAAAAAAACACTGAAATTGCCTGCAGGATATTTAAATAAAACATCTTTTTGCAAAAAGCCCATAATCATTTCTAGTCGGTAATTTGTGTTGTTTGTTACAGTGCGTGACTAACATCTAATAATATAAAAACAAAATTTTAATACGAGACATTCTTTTTATCTTCAAGCCACCAGGGTTTAAAAGCTATAAGAATATTTGTTTTAAATCAGTGTTGGCATGCTGTACTAACATGTGATAAATTTTGCTAGCTCATTTCAAACATTCCCATGCATTCTTCAGTAAATAAAAATGGACCTCTTATGTTTAATGTCTAATTTTAACTCATTACTATAGAAATTATCTTGCCCTTAATGTTATCATTTATTTTTGTGTTGTGTTGTGAGTGATCACAATAAAGCTGAATCTACCATAAATTTTATTACATGTAAAGCGCAAAATTTTATGTTAAAATGAAATGTAGTATAAATAAATAATATATACATGGTTGTATACAGAGATTCTGGTGATTATTGTATTCATTACTAAATATTTAGAACACCTTGTTTTGCAATTTATCAATCACAAATATTCGAGAAACTATCTAGAAAGGAACATTTACTAACGCAGTCGGATTTATTTTGTATTCTCCGATTAATGGAATTAATTTGTATATATTTTTGAGAGTGCTTATGATATGTGTAGCATATTTTCAGGTTTCTTTAAAATCTGCTACTGGTCAAATCACATGTATATTACATTACATTATGATAACGACACTGAAAGAATTGCATTTTTTTTTTATTTGTATTATGTTATGCTGTAGTTATAAATGAAACTAATTTTACGGATTTATCGCGTTTATTTTTAATTTTAAACGTTTCCCTTTACAGCGTTCATGTTCCCGTAGTCTGTCCCGTGACCATGAACGCTGTAAAGGGTTCGAAACGTCGGGAATTAAAATTAAAAATAAACGCGATAAATCCGTAAAATTAGTTTCATTTATAATGTGTAATCGCGTAAATACAAGAAATTATTATGCTGTAGTTTTTTACAAGAATTGTGATCCTTAGTGTCCAAGTAATGAGGTGTAGCATACATCGAGTTAGGTGGTGATTGGCTTTACAAATTATTTAGTTAGCCTTATTAAGGTAATATTATGTCTTTCATTACTTTTATTTTAGAGATTAATTTGCCCAGTCAGTTGCATATAGTTTAAGTAACTAAGCATTTATACACTGTGGTGACCAGCCAAGTTTGTTTTGTGCAAAATAATTATTGATCAATAATAAAAGTAAGTCAAGGTGTATAAATTGTTTTATTAAATCTTTTTAATCAAACACTATATAATTTGTTTTCCAGTTATAATATTTGATACTATATTACTCCATTCAATGTGTTTTGAATCTTGTACTGGAGGCCTAAAATTATAGACTAAATCACATAAAGACTTATTAAATAATTTTATTTGAAGCCACAAAACTGACGCCTCGTCATTTCTGACCACTTCTATAAGAACATTTCCTGAAAATAGACTTAAATTAACATCTATTTGTACAGCATTTGTTTTATTTAGCAATTATGTTGAATCATCATGAAAATTCATGGTTGTTTAATAAATATAAACAACCTGTTAATAAATGATATAAAGAAGGAATTTACCTGCTACCCTTGTGGAATTTGTTAACCATAAAGAAACTACATAAAGGGGTAGTGTTTGTACCCAGTATATAAATTTAGCAAGGACATATTGAACCAGCATGGAGAGCACACGAAACTGAAAACGAAATGGATTTTAATACCCATAGGCAAGAAATTCTAATTGAATGATGATTTGAACTGCACTCAGGCTAATCATGCCTATTAAGACTGATATTTATTTCTGACTAATGAAAGCATTAGTGTTGCATTATGAATAATAAAGTCTTCTACATAAAGTTATCTCTCAATAAATTTGTAGAAAGAAAAGATTAATATGCGATAAACATTAAAGTTATCTACAATTTCATGTATTAATTAGTAGTATATAACGCCATTACTCTTACCAATGTAAACACAGTGTAGTACATAACGGTTGTAGGCAACAACAGCAATAATATAGTGAATGCAACCGTTCCTACAAACAGTTCTTGATTTGTATATTCACATGAATCTATGCCACCTCTCAAAGGATTGTATTTTCTGCCCACAAATAATCTTAGTAAAGCAATGAGTCCAGATATTTGTATATTAAATAATCTGCAATTAGTAAATGACAAGGCTATGGTACATTTTTTAGAATCATAGATTTTAGACACCAGTTTAATATTAGGAACCAGTTTATTATATTATTATCCTGTAAGTTTAAATATTTTTATTAAGATTTGAAAATAACGTTCAGTTAAAACAATCGGCACTTCTTGCTATCATATGAAAGCCAAGTGGTTGCACTAAGACCTTTGTCTGAATACCACAAGTATATTTATGCTAATAGCACATCCAGAGCAGGAGAATTTACAATTATTACCTTGCAGCATATACATATATACAATATGAGTGAAATGTAGCTATGCAAATCATATCAGCCACTATTGCAGCTTGAAAAGTAAATCCAAGGTATCCTATATACTTGTAAAAGTGAAGAATGATATCTAATTTTTCTCCTGAAACATCTGTAATGTTTATACACATTAGTACACCAAGTGCACAGAAAATTACAATATTGCTTGTTGCATTAATATCTTTGTTGGACAGAATATTTATTATCTGATATATACCTAAAAATAGCCACCAAAGTTCAATGTGATATGAAAAATATTTTCCCAACATTTTGTTAAATGCATTATTGAGTTTAAGCCCAGCTGGTGACCCCATTAGCCATTTCAACAAAGAATACATAAGATTTACTAATTTCTGAAACAAAATATATATCTATTATTATAAATAACATTTAAAACTTTTTTATTTTCTTCTCTCCATAACTTCAGCTGTTGTCATTATAAACTTCTTGATAAATTAAAATTTTACCTCCAATATTCCCATTAAAAGCATTGCAAGATCATTTTTATCTTGCAAAAGTAAGTTTAGTATAAGATATCCCAAAACAATATCCACAACTAAAGACAATATAAAATTTCCTTCCTTCATTGATACCTGGAAATTAACAATGGTGTTTATGAGGATACCTTACAATATATTTAACAGATATTTTAGTATAAGTATGGCATTGAAATATTAATATTTTAGTTCAAACTATAAAAAATTCAATTTAATATAATGATACCATCAGCATCTTCTATATGAATATAAATAATTATTTTATGAATTTAATTATACTTTCCCGTATTCTACTTCATTTAATATTTTTTTGTAGATAAATGAACAAAAACTTTCAGCACTGCAGAATTTGAACTTGCGTCTTCTGGTTTCATGCCCAGAAAGTTCCATCTGCAGAGACTAGCGTATATAATGAAAACTAATCTTAAAAATTAAATAATTGACGTTTTCAATATTTACTATGTGTTGAATATATATTGAGTAAAATTAACAACAAAACTCACTTTTTTATTCCTCTTTATAGATGTTAAGAGCCATATAACCATATTTAAGTAGTTAAATACATGTTGAATAAACATAGAAGAAACTAGCCAGGAAGGATTTATAAAGGTAGATTTATAATATATCCTATTGAATTCTTCTTTGTGATCTTTCTGCAACAAGCTCTGCAGCTCCGAAATATAATCATTGTCCTCACTTAAAGTCTCTGAATTTTTTATTGCAATATGATCATATGATATAATAATTGATTTATTACTTGTAATAACCTGTTTTCCATTAAGTCTTAAATACTTAATTTCTGGATACATCTGATTATTAATATAAAAAAAATTACTAAATGTCTCCCATTCATTTACTTCTGGCGGATGATCATTAAGATATCCATAAATAACATCATAAACATTTTGAACCCTTTCTTCTAAAATTAAATTACTTTTGGAATATTTTGTTATATATATAGTGGTTAAAAAAGCTTCAGAAGAATTTATGTATCCCTTGAAGTAATATTTTGCTTCTGGATTTATGGGTACAATAGGAAGCAAAATTCGAAGCGTGGTCAGCATATTCATTTATTTAAAACACCTGTAATTTAATATTTCCTTTTTATTATTGAATGTTTTAATAATGAACCCCATACCATTTGATGCACTCTAAATTAGAGGTCCTCTTATCTAACCAAGGTAAAGGCAAGAAGCATTAAATGTCAACATTTTCAATTTCACTAAGTAGCTGGTGAAGACATTATAAAAGATAAATATTATTCTATTAAACAAAAAATAATTTAACATTTACCAAATAACACATGAAAAATTAAAATTTTCATTGATAATAAGTAACAAGATTGCGTTAAATTCAAAACAAAACTTTAACCATAGACATAGATAAGACGATATTATGATACATCTAAAATAGGCTACTTGACTCATATCAAATTTCACATAAATGAGTATTTCATGTAGTATTAGATATACAAAACCGAAATATATTGATTTCGGTTAACAAAAGTGCACAATTTCAATTCAAAAATTGCTATTTTTATTCTTTGTTCTAAATGCTGGAAACGCTTGCGGCCGTAATGTGACGTCATATACTTGTATGTAAGTCTCTGTGTTGTAAGTAAACAAACCGTTATCAATGATAGCAGTGTGACCAACAGTTCAAAAAAATACTCCTGACCAACTGTTCAAAGAAAACTAAATCTATTATTTAATTTTTTTATATTAATTTAAAAATAAATATGTTAACATTAAATCAATATAATATTTAAAAAATACTAATCATTATAAATACATAAACTAAAATAACCATTTATATTGTAAACATATCTGACGACAGTTTTATCATCCTTTAGCATTTTATATTGCTTAGTAAAAAATAAAAAAATATGCTTAATAAGTTGATAACTATGACTTTATAACATATATTTTAATCCTTAGTTCCATTTTTTTTACATGTTGACTAAGACATAGAATATTCACTTTTATTATATTATTAATTTTATAGTTTAGGGCGAAAGTATTTAAGATATTACCACCTAGGCATCAACCAATGCAGCCTACAAGTAGTCCTGTGTAGTTTGTTTTGAAAGATGTAAATAAATTTTACTCCTAAAAATATTCTCAAAAAAATGTACCTCCTAAAAACTTCCATTGTACATTTTTTCTTCCTAAATTTAGGAAGAAAATTTCTAAGTTGCCAAGTAAGGTTATGATTGTTTACAATACGAATGACGTCACAACTCACAACACAGATAATCTATAGACTATTACGGCGGGCGCCGTTTTCGCCTGATTATGAAAACTTCATTTTTGAAATAAAGTTTTACCTTTTTGTAGGTCCCAAAAATATATATATTTATGTATACTGAAATGCACAGAGTACTTTGGTATATACCCTGGGCCGAATTATTTTAATTATTTTTGTATTTTAAAATAGGGAAGTAATAACTAATCTTGGAGTTCCAAAATATTAAATATATCCAAAATATTAGATATACATTCGTAGACAAAACCTTCGATTTCCCCAAAGAGGTTACCGAAACGTAGCCAGTTATGGGAGGCAACAGTCTCTACGAAAAGCAAGTTTATTGTCTTGTAGAACCTCCCATGGAGTTCTTTCTCCTTCCATACGGTCTCCCGGGCGGAAATGCTCAGTTCTCCCGGGTCCTGCTATTGCTCGTGGGCCAAGGATAGGGGGGAAGTAGTAAGTTCTTATTACAGCTAATGACGTCCGAGTAAGGTGCCTTATCCGTCACCAGAAATTTTTGCGGAGGCTGCACACCTCGCGAGTGGACACGGTGAGGCACATAAAAAGCTCCTCTGTATGCGTGGCAGGTACAGCCTTCACAAATACTTTCTGACGATTTCATAATGCATTTGCGGACTCATTATCCGAGATCCATGATAGCTCAGTGTCCGGGCGCTCGCCTTTAATTCAATATACTCGAGCTACCTGAGTTCGATCCCTGGTGCCGGCACCAATCACCAATGAATTAACTATTTATTTTAAGTACCGAATTATCACGTGCTCTGCGTTGAAGGAAAACATCGTGAGGAAACCTGCATATTTTCGAAATAATAACAAAAAAAAATATTTCGAAGATATGTGAAGTCCGCTACGAACTCTATCACGCAGAGAAATACCGAGCATAGCCCGCTCCATAGCTCGCTGAGCAACTTTGAGCTTCCTCATACGGCCAGCAGTGAAGGACCACGTCTCGGTTCCGTAGGTCAACACTGGCAACACACATTGATTGAAGACTTTAGTCTTCAAATATTGAGGTATATTCGACGAGAAGATTTGCCGAAGTTTCCCGAACGCTGCCCATCCGAGTTGGATTCGCCGATTGACCTCTGCGTCGAAGTTGGACTTACCTAGCCGGACTAACTGTCCTAGGTAAACGTACTCGTCAACAACTTCGAGCTCAGTGCTCCCAACAACAACCGGTATAGGCGTGACATGGACATTAGACATGATCTTCGTCTTGTCCATGTTCATGTTCCGCAGTAGAACTAAGATAACCGAAATAGCTCAGAGGATTAGCAAGCTGAAGTGGCGATGGGCCGGCCATATAGCTCGTAGAACCGATAACCGTTGGGGAAGAAAGGTTCTCGAGTGGCAGCCTCGTACTGGCCATCGCAGTGTAGGACGACCCCCCACTAGATGGAGTGACGACCTGTGCAAATGTCCGGGAAGTCGATGGATGCAGTTGGCTCAGGATCGTACTTCATGGCAGCCTATGGGGGAGGCCTATGTTCAGCAGTGGACTCAAACAGGCTGAAATGATGATGATGATGATGATGAAGTCCGCCAATCCGCAGTGGGGCCGCGTGGTGGACTATGCCCTGATACCTTCTGTACAGAGGAGGCCTTTGCCCAGCAGTGGGACATGTATAGGCTGATTCTTTACTTACTTTTTACTTTATCCGAGATCGTCAGTGATGTGGGACGTCATAGTGGTGTGTAGAGTATGCCAAAGATATACATGAGGACTGGTATGATTCAGCCGTTTAAAGCGCAAGTTTTGTGACATACCGTGTTCAAAAGTCAAAGAATTAGAAAGATCCGCTCGTAGGTTATGAATCGCTGATCTTAGATGTGTGCTTCTTATATAATGTCATGCCCTGCCTGAACACCTGATAGCTGATTTCTTTATCTCTCGCCACGATGGGGTTGCGGATTAGCAGCGTAGCTACCACTGGTAGCCTACCAGCATCTTTGTTGTACTATTTTGTTTACTACTATCTAGTTTACATTAATTTGATATCTGGCAACACGTTTATGACGTAGCGGATATTCGGCCTGTTCAGCATCCGAAAGTTGAAAAAATATCGATATATCGATATTTATAAAAATATCAATATTGGCCTCAATATATCGAAAAAAAAAATATCGATATATCGGTCATATTTTCAGTTTTAAAAAAAATGTATTTAGTTCCGTCTGATTCAATGATAAGTTATAGTAATTTTTAGACTTAATAAATAAATAATAAAATAAATTCACATTATTTAAATGAATAAGAAATTTTAATGAAACGTCCATTATTTATTAATTTTAACGAAATTTCTTTTATTAATTTAAATTTCTCGGCATGTTATTTATCAAGACCTTCATTGGAAAAAAAACAAACAGCATATTTAGTAAGATAAATCAGTTTCTTTAGCTCTGAATCAGATAAAAAAATAACTAATTAAAAAAAATGTAAATTTGTATAAAAACGTAAATAATTGTTTAAAACAAAGTAAATAATGGGTCAAAAAGAAACCCGCAGACTTGTCCCAAAAGACAGGCCTAGATCAACAGAATTTAGTAATAGTTGTTAGATTGACATGAAAATGCGTAACTTATGTTTTTTTATTTAAATTTATATAAATTTTATATAAAATTAATGTTTAATGAAAACTCAATATTATATTATGTGACATTTAGTTATTGAGAATTTGATTATTATTAATTATTTTTTCACTTTATTTACATATTAAATTAAAGTAACTTTAGTTGATGCCATTGATATTTTGCATGCTATTTATAAATTAACATACAAGATAATTCAATATTAATGATTTGTAACACCCCTATACCATGTTATACTTAAGATATGGATAGTATAAACTACGAAGCATCAAATCTATAATAATATTATAAATGAGAAAGTAACTCTCTCTGTCTGTCTAACTTTCACGCCAAAATTACTGAACCGATTTAAATGAAATTTGGTACATAGATAGTCTAGAGCCTGAGAAAGGACATGGCTATTAGTTAAATGATTTTTTTTTGAAGAAAGATATTTATTTAAGGGCTTCAAAGCGAGCGAGGCTGCGGGCGAAAAGCTAGTTGTAGTATAAATACCATAATTATTGTACAAAATGCAACTTTGCATCCGTGACAATACTAGTAATAGACCACAGGCTTTTTCTGCTTTTTTTGTCTTTTACGGCTTTGAATCTGTTTGAATAAAAATATCGTTTTTGATACGATTTCGATATTCAATTTTTTATATCGATATATCGGATCAAAATATTTCGGCCAAAAATATCGATATATATATTTATTTAAATATCGATATATCGATATATTTTCGGCATCCCTAGTTCAGCCATAGTGTTTCGTTCGTGGATGGTCGCCATTTTTCCAATTCGTTTACTTCGTTGGCTTCTTTAATGTTGTTAATGTTATATCAATAATGATTAATAATGATTTTTTAAGCTAAGTTTCTATTAGGATTTGGAATCTCCACTGTTTGCAACATTTTAATTAAATATAAAAATATAAATTCAACAATGTCGGCTCACGAGCAAATGAGGGCAATGTTGGATCAATTGATGGGTACAGCACGTAATGGTTAGTATAGAAACTATTTTTTTTTTTACTTTAATATGTTTCGATTATTGATTAAATTTTTTTTAAAGGTGAAACTGATAAACATGGAGTTAAATTTTACGACGATTCAGTTTGTAAATCGTTTTTACTGCAATGCTGCCCTCATGAAATTTTATCATCAACGGTGAGCTTACTATTAAAACAAGTGATTTTTGCGGGTTACAGGAATCTTATTCCTGAGATGTTATTTTTAGTAATTATTGCTTGATTTTTTTTTCTTAAACCTTATTATGTATGCATCAACATTTGATTTTGTATCATAGTCCGTGTTTTTATGGTTTGTTGTTTACTATAATGATTTCTCAGGAATATTGTTTTGGCCTTGCAGTGTTTACTATTCATATACAATGGGATATTTCTTATTTTACATTTCGACTTATTTATATTATTGTATTCATAATCATTTTATATATATAACATATCCTAATGTATATGACCCAATATCACTCTTTCATATAAATAATGCTGAATGTAGTCTCTGGAAAATTCTTACATCGGAGTGGCATTAACTGTGGAAAAATATGCTTTTCAGAAAATGCCCAACACTAGTCTTTATTGCTCATCACAATACTTAACAGATGAGGGATAGATTGTATGAGTTAGGCTGTTCTGTAAGTACCAAGATGTACGTATAAAATATTTCTAGTTAGCTGATTGTATACTTACTGCTAAGCAGAATTTAATTTATTAAGTGACTCTCAGGCTTAATAAAAATTATTTAACTATCCAACGGTTACTAATGCTGCTTCGGTGAGTACTTATATAATAAAAGACATTAAAATTCGAAAGCTGGGTGAGAGCAATAGATGCTGGTTTATTCTTACTACATTGGGTATGTACAATGCTGTTTCAAGGCTAGAATACAGAACAACAGTAACTATTTGCATGTGAATTTATATTTTGTTATAAAAAAAGTTTTTTAAGAGTTAAATCATATAAGTACCAAATTGCCAATTAAAAAATGTTATAAATGGAAAAATGATATTTTTTAAACAATTTATTTAAATACAATTTTTATTTATAAAAAAATGCTTAGAGCACTGTAGTGATATAGTTAATGTTTGGTGAGAGGTTTAATAGAATATTTAAGATTTAAATTATTTGAGATTAAACACAATCTGATACAAGCAGCTGATAAAGACATTTTATCAGTTTGCCAAAATCTAAATAATTTTATTAAATAATATTAATATATAAGTAAACTATTATGCTATAGAAGAATAGATTTATTATTAAGATTGATTAAAATTAATTTAATGAAAATAGCTTCAAATGTGCTCTTAGATATAATTGTTTAAAAAAAACCTAAATATCTATCATAACATTATGTAGTAATTACAAATAGTAATAATTGTTTTACAGTAAATAAAAATAAATTAACAAAATTGGGATGATCTATCAATACCATCCATAAAAGTAAATGAGAAAAAGTTCTATGTTGCATCCTGATACTGTATTTTCAACAAAAAAATAAAATAAAAACAAGTATGAGTTATATACATTATTTTAATGTTTGTAATCTAAATGATGAATTAAATTTGCATTATGTATCAAATATTTCAAAAAAATTGTGATCTCTATGCCTATTTCCTCATGTGTTAAGAGTGTTCTAAGGACTAGTTAGGTATTTCGCGAGGTGTTTCCACTATGATTTGTAAGTATAATAAAATTTTGGTTTATTGACTGGCTGGTGAACAAGGGTCAGGATGATGAGCAGTTGTTGGTGACATTGTATGTATTTTATTAAAACAAATTTTTCTTTCTTACAATGGGGGTGTTTTGTTTATCTATACTTTTATTTTTATTCATAAGCAATATTTCAAGTACAGATTTTTTATTATTTTATACTATATCTGTGTATTATATATTATAGAATCATAATAGGGAAATATTATGATTTTTCAATACAATTTGTTTTTAATGAAGTGTCAAAATTTAGTAATTTCTCTTCAGCTTCACAAATTTTTACAATGAAGAACAAACTGTTGTTATAATTCAGTGATGGCATTCTTATTACTTAATTGCTGTTTTTCAATTGTATCCATTTGTTAGGAGTAACAATAATGCAAACACCTCTTTGAATGAAGGTTAATGCAGGATTTTTTTAAATACTGTTTTGATTTTAATTCCAGCGAATGGATCTAGGTGAGTGTCCTAAAATACATGATCTGGCTCTCCGTGCGGATTTTGAATTAGCATCGAAAACCAAAGATTATTTCTATGACATTGATGTAAGTATAACATTTTATTTTTTTATTTTTTATAAGTAGAACTGTGTATTTATATTTTGACATATACTGTTTGAACATGATCTTTATAGGGTTTTTGAATATTTTTTCCTGCAATGAAATAATGAAATCTGAAATTTATATTGACCAATTGCTCAAAGTTTAGATAAGATTTGAGTAAATGTTCAAATTTAAAACCGATTATTATTATAGTCAAATTTTAAAGTGATTCATAATTTGTCATCCCTTTCCAAACAATATGAATTAGAGTTTTTAAATATTTTAAAATGGAGAATCATTAGGTACTCACATCCACGTAATATGTTTCGCGTCAAACAATATGTACTGGATTAACCCATCTGATTGCTGACGTAAAAACCTTTTCTGAGAAATGTGACTGTATTTGTGTGAAAATTATGTCGTCAGAGCTCAAAGTTGCCCTTTCAAGTAATGCCATGGCTCTATGGCCGTGTCATGTGTTAGTTGACATACTCATATTAGCTATAGCTATAACTGTAAAGAAATCTGAAATCTCCCTGGTGCGAATATTTGGGAGAGGTTACCTTCAATACCTTCTTAATATGACGAATTAAATATTTGTACTCACACTTAGAGAGCCACTGAGCTATCACTAGAGCCGTGATAGCTCAGTGTCCGGGCGCTCGCCTTTGATTCAATCAACTCGAGCAATCTGAGTGCGATCTCCGGTGCCGGCACCAATGAAGTTTTTAACTTTAAGTGCTGACTTATCAGGTGCTACGCGGTGACGGAAAACATCGTGAGGAAACCTGCATAATTTCGAAATAATAACAAAAAAATATATATATTTCGAAGATATGTGAAGTCCGCCAATCCGCAGTGGGGAGCGTGGTGGACTATGCCATGATACCCTCTGTATAGAGGAGGCCTTTGTCCAGCAGTGGGACATGTATAGGCTGTTACTCTACTTTACTTTACTCACACTTATTTTTAAGTTAGCAATGTACACCAACATGACTTACAAAATTAACAGTGAAATATCAATACAAAACTCATCAAATTTTTATCACGTTGTACTAACCGATATGATGCTGAAGTGTATTAAAATGTCTGCAAATTGTTAATACGCGTTTTTGTTTGTTTTACGAAGGCGACGGAGCATTTAGAGGCGTTTATAGCGGATTGCGACAAGCGGACCGCCGCGGCGAAACAGCGTTTGGCGGAGACCCAGGAGGAACTGTCCGCAGAAGTGACCGAGAAGGCGAATGCGGTCCACGAGCTGGCGGAACAGATCGGGCAGAAACTCGCCCGCGCCGAAGCCCTCGGCGAGGAGGGTATGGTCGAAGAGAGTGTCAAGCTTATGGGAGAGGTATAACATCGTGGCTAGCGGCGATCGATCTCAACGTGATGCGGCGATATTTCGCAGTCGGCTCATCCACCTCGGAACCGTTACAGATCGACGAGCTGCGCAAAAAGAAAGCGGTGGCCGAGCAGGAGTACCGCAACTCGATGCCGGCCTCCTCTTACCAGCAGCAGAAGTTGAGGGTGTGCGAGGTGTGCTCCGCTTATTTGGGCATACACGACAACGACCGCCGGCTCGCCGACCACTTCGGCGGGAAACTCCACCTCGGCTTCATCACCATCCGCGAGAAGCTCTCTGAGCTAAAGGTTTCATTGTGCCTTACTAACTTATAGCCAGTTAGCTACGACGCCGAGTTATCGCTTATCTGCTTATCTTGAAATATTGTGATTTAATTCTGAAAACTTGATTTTTTTGACTTTGCAAGATGTAACAATAACTTGTAATATTTGTTTTTGATTTCGAATTAATTTTAACCTAATTCTTTTAAAGTTATACATTGATTATATTTTTATGTGGCTAACGAAGAAGTATATTGTAACAAATCGAATAAGATGATTTGCGGATCTATAAAGCCACATAGTTTCAAGTTATTGCTACCTTTTCCAGGGCATACACAACAAAACGCGTAAATAGTTAAAATGGCCAATGCCGGAGGGGGAAGGGACGGGGAGGTGGCGCATTAGTGTCGTTTTGTTATATTATAAAATGTACATTTTTCCCTAGTACTACAATATTGTGTAAATTGCACAGAAAACGGTGGAGAAGCGGCGCGAGGAGCGTGGCGCTTCGGAGAGGGAGCGCGGCGGCGGGCGGCGGCACTACGTGGGCGGGCGCGAGCTGGACCGCAGGGCGCGCAGGCACCGCGAGTCGGCGCGCGACAGAGAGCGCGCCAAGGACGGCGACGGCAAGGAGCGCGAGCGGGACCGCGAACGCGACCGCGCCAAGGAGCGCGACAGGGGCGACAGGGCCGAGAGGGGTGACAGAGCCGAGAGGGCCGAGAGGGGTGACAGGGCCGACAGGGCCGACAGGGCGGACAGGGCGGACAGGGCCGACAGGGCGGACAGGGCCGATAGGGCCGACAGGGCGGACAGGGAGCACGAGCGCGAGCGCGACAGGAGGTGCGTTCCAATTTAAATTTATAAAGTTATACTCGCTTTAGTGCATTACAGTTTGTTAAATATACGATGATACGCGGGAGATTGTTTAAAAAATAAGGAACTTCATCTACAAGATCCATATTTATTTGTATGCCAATGTCCTGTGAATCAACCAATATTTAACAGACTGTAGTATTACGATGCGCGCGCACAGCTACATGATATCAACACCAAAAGTTGTGTTTTGAAAACATTGATGTCTGACAGTTTACTAAAGGAAGGTTTTAGTGGTATACGTTTCAGTAACGGTATATACGCCTCTGAACCCGCTAATATGAATGAAACGTATTCGGCGAAATGGGCACATTTTTCGTCTACAATACAGTATTTATTTGTTCTATAAACCAGTTTATTCTCCTATTATACATGGTCGATAATATCGTACTTAAACTTGCGACAAAACAGTCTTCATCTTAAAATATGTAGAAAAATTAAAATATTTAGAAAAAAAATATGTAGAAAAAGTGCAGTCTTCATCTTGTTTATAAACAGTACATAATGTTCGTGATAAACTAATACAATAATTGTTTTAATCATTGAAATTGACAATCCTGTATATGCGTCTCTACAACCGCGACAATAAATGAACTCGCGTCTAACGCTACTTGCCAATAATCATAAAAAATTATAAACATTTAAATAAAACCATAATTAAAAAAATATTTTCAAACAAACTAATTAAATAAGAAACAAAATTTGTAACCTCCTATACAACTACAACTGGCTGATTCATACATTGAGAGACTTTTTCATTCGTTGCCACAGCGTCGCACTACAAATCCCTCCTTCTAACAGTATGTTTTATCTATTTTTAATTCATTCAACCCATTCATATCCTTTGTGACCTTTACAAATGAACTTTACGTTACAGTTAAGGCTGTTCTAAAATTGTTTGTTTTGGAAAATTTGATAACTCGGTAAATATTGATATTTAAAGAATGTAAATGTTTAATACAATTTTAAAAAGTTATCCTCTATATGTGTGTTCATTTATTGTCGCGGTTGTAACGACACGCTGTATACTTTATAAAGTTTTGTATACTTTTTTGCAATTAACCGACGCGTTCATCACCCGTACTTGTGTAATAGTGTATTAGAACGGACGTTAAAACGATTGGAATAAGGACTATAGTAAAGTAACGGATACTGCGTGAATGATGCAGGCGCAGCCGTTCCCGCAGCAGGAGCAAGCGCGAGAGCTCGCGCGAAAGGTCGCGAGCCACCGAGCGCGAACGCGACAGGGACTCGCGCCGCAGCAAGTCCCATCGGCGCTCCTCCTCGCGCGAGAGGAGACGCGACTAATGGGCGGGCAGAGCGCAGCGAAAACTCGTATGGTGTTACGAACGGAACGTTGGCTTTTTTATTTTTGATTCTATTTTTCCCCATTTGATCCACCTGGCCATTTAGAACCGTCTAAATCGGATACTGCGATATGATTTTAACGTTACTGTTTCTCTTCTGAATTCCAAACTTAAACTTTGCAATTGCAAAGGCTAGTTCGACCTGAAAACTGAATCTTATTTTATTCTCTAGATATAAAATGAATTAATTGATAATAGGTCCAAAATAAACGCAAATTTTTCAAAAAGGATTTTTCATTTATTTTGGACAATCCTAATATCGATATGTCATTATGATGTATGTCTGATCTGATTTCTTGCCCACTATCTTTTTTTATTTGATATCTAGAGGTTCCAATTTGAAGGCCACTTGTGATTTTAAAACTATTTTATTTTTATGGTTTTTGCATTGTATATTCAGTCAGATGTGAGAAGCAATTAAGTTATTTTCGACAATTGTCTAACAACCCCATCTCATTACCTAGTTATGCTTGTGTGTATACAGTTAAGTTCAATGGTCAAGGTTATTTGGTTGAATTGAATGAGCATATTATAAATATTCAAACATTTAGAAGTAAATGCAACATGTATAAAAGTTTAATTGCAGCCAGTGCGGTACTTCATATTGTGTTTTATGACATAAATGTGTAGTTATTATGTTTTATAGTATAGAGTATTGAAGGTATTGAGAAGTAGTGGTTGTCTTGTTTTGGTTTAATTCAAATTTCTATTTGGTATCTCTCTATCACTTATTACTTACTGTTAGTGTATATGATGTAACTTAAGTGAAAAATATGATAAAGATAGAATATTGACGAAATTAACATAATTACGTTTGTGACAAAATTACCTAAAATGGTTTTCACACCATCTGTACCCATGTATTAGGTTTATCACAACTGATTAATTTATATCTAAGAGAGAATGTGTGCTATCATTTGTTATAATAAAAGTAGACTAGGAAATGGTGTTTTATTTCTGAATGTTTCCAATTTATATATTTAGTATTTTTGTTGCCATAAATTTCAGCGACATGTTACGTTTATGCTAATAATCGTCCTCGCGTGATACGAAATTTACGCAAGTTTTCAATTTTATGCTTAGTCATTTAATTGATATTAACCAATAGGTAGGCAAAATCCTTCTCCAAATGGTAGATATCAATGCACCGCTACGCTAGTACGGTTTTGCAGACTTCCTTCGAAATAATTTCTTGTTCATTATTTTAAAGATGTTTCGAGGTTTTGTTAGTGTAGGGTAAAAAGTCATTTTCAGTATGGGAAGTTTCGCTATAATGATTCCCGGACTTCCCATCCATATTTCGCGGCTGGAGTTCCGCATCGACCATAAATCATATTGTTCAATTAAAACAGAAGGTCACCAGACTGCATTCCAGTATCGAAATAATAAACACGTTCAAATAGATGATTTATTATAGTGCGCATTTCATGCTACATACAAAACTACGTAAAGTAACATTTTATAGGTAGAAATAAATTGATATATTGAAAAATGCCACTAAAGTCAACAAGTACATGATAAAAACTTATAAAATTTGTTTTTTCACAATTTTTATTTAAAAATTTCTTAGTCTATTATTAATTATGCAGCATTTGACCAGATTTAATTTCATTGTAATGCCAATAATGCTATGATAATGTGCTTTAATTGCTTATTTTGTGACCAATTTGTTTATATCTATACTAAAAAAATAATTTGAGGGCTACATTTTGAAATATTAACTTAAATTTAGTCTTGAGTTTGTTGCATACAATATTCTACTTCTATGCTAGTACTGATTTGTACTCTATTGCATTTATGGAAATGCACAGGCGTGTAATCAGTTGTTTAATGGTATCAAACGAAAACATTCCTTGCGGTAATAAAATTGCATTATTGAATCCAATTTTTCAGTACAATACGATAACGACTGATGGAAGATCGTAATAATATTTTTTTATTATAATCCTATTGGAAATCAGTTCTTTTTATGCTTCGGCTTGTTTCATTGAAACCATTAAACAAATCTATGAAGTCTATCCCAAAGAGTACTTTTATATATCTGGTCTATCCTATGAGCCTTGTATAGTACAAATATAATTTATTATTTTTGTAACTGATTATCCGACCACTTAAATTTTTTTATACATTTAAATATTGTTTGTCTTTGTTCTAATTTCAATAGAAAGCAATGCTTTTTAAGGATGACAAAAAATTTTTAACAGTAACCAAACAAAGCTATAAGTTTCATGTATCGTTATTGTTAAAACAAAGCAATTATTTGATGGTACGAAATATATACCTATATATAAATCTAGAGATAACTCGTAAAAATATTAAACATTTTCGTTGATACTTCTCATTACGCCACATTCTTTGTGATATGTACATAGCTCATGTTAATTTGAAATAAGGTGCTAATGTATTTGAATTATCCCTTATTATGTATAAATGTTTCATGAAATTATTAACAGATAGGAACATAGCACTTTAATAATGACTAAACAGGGCAATTCCTTAGTTAATATAAAAATTATCACAATTTTAAAATAAACTAACAATAAATGATGTGTACATTTAATTATTCAAAAAAGTTACGACGACACATGTTTAAGAATTGCATTTATTAACCTAACTTTATATTTAAATTCAGTTTTAGTTATTAAGTATTTGCCTATGAGTTTATTTGAGATCAACATTGATAAAAGTCTGAATATCGTTTTATTATGAAGTTAATTTTCAAAGCAGTCGAAATATTTACTAACTAGGGTAAAAATTGATTTAGTTTCATTGTTTACTGTCCTTAATAAGGGCGTGTATATTTTTACCTACACTAAGAATGACAACTATAAATCATAACATCAACACTGGACTAAAAATATTGTCTTTTGTGACCTTAATTTGTCAGTACGGCGATGAGAACTAATGTGCAGTCTCTATTTAATTTTTATTTTATGCAGTTTCAATTTGAAGCCCAACATTTCTGACAGGACACCGGAGAGCGCTGAAAGTATCACCACCTTGGTTATCGTGTACAAATAGTGATTGGCACATATTCCCGATATCTTAAAAGGTGCGTCCAGTTCCTGAAAAGAATAAAACACATATAGTGTTATCGAATCTATTTGTCACAAAAAGATTATTTTGACGTTTATTTATTTATTTCAATAGTGCTTTAGCTTTATGACATATTCCCTGGTTTTTTTAGCAGTATTTTTGCGCCACTCAAGGGCTGAGATGATTTGATGATTTCATTCCTACGCAAGAACCACACGGTAATACTATAAATTTATGGAAAAAAAAAACCATATTGTAAATGCTACCTTGAGGAGTCGAATAAAACCAAAACCAATTTGGAAATCTAGGCAAGTACGACAAGCGATAACGACACGTAATAAGGCACGATTAGCAGCACGACGAAAGCGAAAAACTATTACTTATTTTAATTTTTTAATACGATAAGTTAATGAAATTTACTTCGTTTGCGTACAAGTAATGTATAAATAAAAAAATCTCGGAAGATGAAAATAGTTTAAAATATGTATATTCGATTGAGAAATTTGTAAACAAGTCCATTTTTCTATTATGTAATAAAAGTGAATGACCTGAAAACAATTGTTGGAGTGCGTTCAGCTTATATAGTTCTATTCCAGCAAACAATAAGAACAAAAGAAATTCTTATAAGTGATTGATACCATAAAAGGTTACATATGCACATTTGATTGTATAGCAGTTTTTGTTTAAATTTAAATACCAAATAACTGCCGAATAAAAAAATATTATCCTTTTTATACCGACGATATTTTAATGAAATTAATGGCTCTGTGGTGCATTTGCCAAGGTATTCAAGGGCTTCAGCGCCGGGGTTCGTGGGTTCGGTTCCCACACGAGACAACAATTTCTGTGACCCGGATAAAAAACAATTGTTTTACGTCTGGGTGTTTGTCCACGTGAAATTTATGTATTCAAACAATACCTCACAACACAGGATAATGTCATTCTACAAAGAGGGGGTAATGTTTTAGAAGGGAAGATTACAATAGATCTTTGTAGGTCCCAGTACTCGTTGGGACTTTCCACCCTACCACTTACAAGGGTTATATTCCTTTTATTAGCAAATGTTTCTTAATCCCTGGAGAGAACTCTAGCTTGTGAAATTATTGTTTTGTATATATTGCCACCCAGTGCGTGAATAAAATTACAAATCATTTATATAGCCGAATATGACTTTCAAATTCTTATACAATAAAACCACAAGGTTTGGAATATTACGTTACAATCAAATATTGTTACATGACTGTAAAGCGGGCCGGAAACACTTGCAGAGGCTAATGATAACGTGCATGGTCACATTCCATCATCATATTTCCATACAGATGAATTATAAAGGTTAGAAAATCATCAAAATCATTTCTATGCACATGCACATGGCTCCGGTGTAACTCAGACGAGTTTTTGAATAATTTTATTTTTAGTGTTAGTCTCTGCACTCAAGATGAAACATAAAGTGGGTCCGTGCCTATTTTTGTTTTATGTGAAAAAGCGCTAGCGCTTCACCTGATGTTAAGTAATAACCGCCCATGGACATTAGCAACGCCCGTGGGGTTGCAAATGCATTGGCACCTTTAAATCAATTGGGCCCCGGCTTGCTCGCTCACCATACGACTATTCGTTTAGCTCAGATGGTTAGAGGGTATGTTCGTGTTAACCGTCGCAGGTTCGAATCCCGCGGCGGCGAACAAATGTACCCACAATTTATGTTAAAAAAAATCACATGTCAAGACTTGAGAGAGCTCTGCGCTCGGGGTGACCGACCTTCAGCAGGTCGGCGGCGAGCTTGAGCACGTTGTTCGCGACCGTCAGCTGCTCCTTGCTCTCCGGCCGCTGCTCGATGGCCAGGTGCAGGTTGATCTGCTCGGTGAGTATTGCGGAGAGGCAGCCGCGGTACTTGCGGTTCACGTTGCTGCCGAGGGTCAGCAGCCGCAGCAGGTGGATGCCGAGGCAGCAGCACCACACCATCGCCTCCAGCAGCCAGCCGCACTCGAGCGTCGGCGAGTCCTGTGGGACAGGCACAACGGTCAAGTTGTCAGTGGATCAATCGGCGTGGTATCATTACCGGAACAATGTTGTGTTGTGACCATATTGTAGTGGGAACGGCCACGTGGTCAACCTATCATTGGCGACACCAACGGCGCAATCGATCGGTCGGTATCACTACCGGAATAATATTGTGTGATGACCGTAGTGTATATGGTATCTGGATGTTTACATATCTATGATATGGATCTGTTTACAAGTGTTTTTTTTTTTGTGAGGTGTGGTAGTGGTACTTGCGTGGTCTGACCACAGTTATGTCTAGAAACATTTATTTTATTGAATGGAGTACTATTAAATACACGGATTTTGACTTTGTGTATTATAGCAAACCCACAATTTATACATGTTTGTGTGTGATTAATTTTTCATGTTATAAAATGCTTTCTTTAAAGACCATCCATTTCTTTACGCTATAAATTCTTTTGACATAAAAATCTCCGGCTCATTCTTCAGGACGTACCATTTTACAGATTTTCAACTTTTTACTTGCGGCTATCGTGTGGCATTCAATTCCGTGTTTTATTGATCCCCATGGAATATTATATGGGACACAACTACGAAGGCCGAGCACACCACATCAGAAGATGAATAATAACTTCTATGAACTAAAACTCCGATGACATCACACATTACATTATGATGATTTAACCGCAGAGATGTTCCAAAATGACGTTGGAGGTTAGAAATCGAACGCGATAATAAGGTGTTTTAGTACGGTACCAAAACTAAAAAATTTTTCGGGAATTTATCGGAGTCCACATTTTTAAAATTTGTCAAAGCATCGGCAAGCCGTCGGCTATTGCAGATCCATAGGCGGTATTCATTTAACATCAGGGCTAAATAAATACCGCCGTTTTCACATAAAAAAATATATCAGAACACGGAACGGAATTCCATCCCTGATTAGACTATATGTGATAAGAATGGCTACTACTCACCCGCAGCAGTTGGGCGCTGACGCAAGCCAGAAGTATTAGCGTTAGCATGAACGCGGCAGAGACTATTACGTCAACAGATCGTTGCGGCCCTCGACGCTACAAAGAACGTTACGTGGTAAAAAGAAAGTAATGCATAGTACTTGTAAAGTAAATAGATGTATTGTATTTTGTGTGAAGGGGTTGGGGATATGTCCCAACGACCTAGAAAGATCTATTGTAGTCTTCCCTCCGAAGACACACAAATAATTGTTTCGTGTGGGTATCGAACCCAGGACCCCGGCGCCTAATGCCGATACCTTAGCCACGGATTCATCAAAGCCTCGATTACTAGTACAACCCTGTAGTAATCGAGATGTAAATTCATCAAGTAACAGTCTATATGGTCCACAGCTGAGCAAAGGCCTCCGCTGTATTTGCGCATAGTCAAACACGCGACCCCATTGCGGATTGAAAGACTTCACGTAAGGTACGTGAATACGTGTATGGAAATATTTTTTTCCGCCATATCTCGAAAATATGCAGGTTTATTAAATGAAAGTAATGGGTGAATTGCAAGTATTACACTTTCGTGTTTCGTCTGGTGATTGAGGTGGCCGGAGCCCCCTTTTTATAGCCTTTAACGCAACCGCAAGCCACCGGGGGCCGTAAATTTTGATGTGCGGTATTAACGTGAACTGAACCGTCGGCGCACTTGGTAACTTCTCACATAAAAAAAAAACTCACTCGCAAGTACGACCTGGTCGAGAGCCAAGTCTTGATGTTCCTGACGGTGTTCAAGCGGAAGTGGGGTAGCTCCGACTTTCGGGCGCGCCTCGCCGACGTGAGGTGCGAGAACAGCTTGGCGTATAGGAAACGCTGCTTGAAAGCCCTCTCGGCCACTGCCAGTAGGAAGAATACGAGGCCGCTCAGCGCGAAGCGGAGTATGCACGACAATGTGTTGGTCGTTATCTCCCTGCGGGTAGAATTAAAATAATAAATAAAAAAAATTATTATGAAAAAAAAAAAAGAAATTAAATGCAATTGATACCCGTTTAATTAAAAAACTTGGGATTTTAGGTAAACGTCAAAAAGCTTGTTATTGGTTGCCATGGTAATACCGTGAAGTTGGTGGCTTTGCAGAATAAAAAAAAATAATTTAATAAAAAAATGACTGCAATTGATAACGGTTTATTTAAATAACTTGGAATTATAGGTAACTGTCAAAGAGTTGTTATTAGTTTCCATGGTAATACCGTGAAGGTTTCAGGTCGCTTTGCAACCAACTTCATCGTGTCGCTTTTTGGCTGTCGGTTTGCGCGCGCATAGATATAGGCATTATAGAAGCAGTAGATATAGCTACAAAAGGAAACTTTTAAATAAGTAAAAATAATGAAAGTAAATTAAAATTATTACTAATTGTGTAGCAAGGCACTAGCAGCGAATCGGCTGATGCATGTGGATTAAATATTTTAAAGGCATATTTATTATGTAACCTAGAAAGTTAACACTCGCTATGTTGACATTGTCTGGAAGCTTGTTCTATTTCATGTTACGAGAGCAAAGATAGCAGCCGCAACAGTTCGCCTTATTGTTTTTATTCCTTTGTTTAATTTTACAGCTTTAGTTATGATTCCAATAAGAGATTATAATATTTTCGCCAAAACTATACGCACAGCACATCGACACAATATGTTAACCTCTAACAAAATAAGAGCGAATGGAACAATAAATCTAATAATTCTAAGATGCCGTTTCAGGAGCTTTGTTTCTTTTTCTTTCCTCTTTTTTAAAAACATTGCCCTCACTTTAGGACCACGACCCTCGAAGTCATTACCTTTGCAACTGAGCCACGGAGTCAACATAGATCACAAATAACAAAAAACCATTTAACAGATTACGCAAAGCAATTTTTCATGGCCAAATGACGGACAATTGGTCCGATTGAACAATGGAATAATGGCGCTCACCATACATTATCCCCGAAGCCTCCGCTGAAAAGGGAATAGGGCGAGCCTTGGGTGTAGTTGACCACCAGCGACGGTATGTAGGACAGCAGGGATACAGATTGCAACTCCTCCTCACTCCTCGTGTCCTGGTCAATGGCCACCTGCAACAATACTTTGGATTTCTTATTGCTTATTGAGTCGACTTTGTGATTTATACTTATTTGAACTATACACGTATGGTTTTTTTGGATGATTGTAAATGGCGTAGTGAGTTTGTCCTTATTTCTAGTGTTTATTTTATGTCTGTCACTATTCTTTAGGTAATCATTATTATTAAGGTTATGAAGTATATACAAAATACTACAATAAATGAATTGAGAAGCAACAGTGAGTATTGGAATTTTGTAATACTATATAATTTTATCTCTATATAATTTATCAAAGGTGTTTTTTTTGTCGGCACGCTATTACTGAAACAATTCTTCATCCAAATTTTTTCAAATGCCATTTTAACGCTTATAAGTGGCATACCCACTATTGATGAAATACTCAAGTAGAATAATGCTAATGTTTTCATTAAAAAATAGTTTAATTTTTTTTAATTAAAGAATTAATGATATTACCATTGACGATTAGTTTAAATGATAGATGCGATGAATTAACGGTGGTAGGGCCACGCAGCAGCCTCGGCTGTTGTACGAACGGGCAGGCCCGTCCGGATAAGCACCACGACCTCACAGAAGACCAGCGTAAAGTGGAAGTATGACAAATACTTTCGCATTTCGTCTGGTGAGTGAGGTAGCCGGAGCCCAATTTTCAAAAGGTTGTCAACGCATCTGTAACCCTCGTGTGTAGCAGATGTCCATGGGCGGCGGTATTCACTTAACATCGGGTGACCCGTCTGCTCGTTTGGCAACTTTTGGCCTAAAAAAAAAAAAAAAAAAGAAGTTAACTGAAAAATCTTTGGAAATACATTATTTCATAATTAGTTATTTTTCGGGTTTTTAAATAAAGGCAAAAGTTTGATAAATACTATAGCAGTAGAACTGTAATTAGATACATTAGTAATTGAGCAAAGTATGCGTTACACGTTCTATCATGCGATGGAAATGTTCGACATTCTCAATACTCGATTAAGACATTCTCGTCAATCAACGTGTTCGTTGTGAACGAATAGAATGCTACTTAGCGATAATCTATACTTACACGATGGATAGTAATTCTATTAACAATTTTTAAAAGCGGCGTATTAAAATCAAAAATTCTTAGCCCTCTTAGACCCTTCTCCATGTGGTTACAACTTATCAACCCGACTTCTAATCCCGAATCTTCCTAAAACTTCATCTTTAAGCGGGAATGGAGGAGTTAGTCCGTATGAGAATATCTGAGACGTGACGCCTATATTGTCACTGTCGTCGGGAGCAATGAATTCAGCAGTATACCTCATCCGACTAAAATTGCATACACAAGTTCGGCGGGAGATTACAGTCCACTACACGTACAATGAAAACTCCCAATCGTCCCAGATGGTATAAAGTTCGGTGGAGAGTTTACTACATTTTCATATTATATGTATTTGTATATACTTCTGTGAAGTTAACATGTTTAATATTTTCAATAACAACACAAGTGTAAGCATTATCATTGTACTGCTGGCGACACGAAAATTTAGTATCAATAGATTGTTAGCTCACATAAGCTTCTTTCACGTATAGCTTAAACAATACAGGGTATATTTTCATAATATTTTCTTTGTGTGGACATCAACAACTGAGTCAAGGTGTGCCGATTTATACTTATTCGTTTGGTAATACTCGTCGATATTCATATCACATCTTGTTAATATTATTAATGTTACTGGGGATATTTAGTTGTTTTCTCGTCTGGTTGGGTTTATAAATAAAAATAAACATATAGATATAATTTTTTTTGTAGATGCGTTGGGAACCTTTTGAAAATTGGGCTTCGGCTACCTCACGCACCAGACGAAACGCGAAAGTATCGGAGGTCGCGGTAATTACCCGGAAGAGCCTGCCCATTCGTGCAACAGCCGAGGCTGCTGCGTGGCCCTACATACAGTCTTATCTGTTTCGGCTTTCATGAGTTTCTCGTCATATGGAATGTCAACCGAAAATACCCGCGACTGTGCCCGGTCCATCAACACGATATCAGGTTTGTTCGCAAGAATCGTGCTGTCCGTGATGATGGGCCGATCAAAATAGCTGTCGCGGTCATTTTTGAGTACGGCCTCCGGATAGTTCTTGTAGTACGGCAGTTTCCGATCCACGAGACCGTATTTCAGAGCGAGCTCCTGGTGTAGGATTCTGGCTACTGGGTTGTGTCTATGCAAATACCCAGAGTTAGAAAGCATGGAACAACCGGAGATGACATGCCGAAGCGAGTCCCCGGGATGTCGCTCGACAGATGTCGACGGTGCCATCCTTTAGGATGTATTTCGATAGTTGTTCGTCTTAATAACCCGATCTTGTATTGCACAGAAAAAACCTTCGGTTTCCCCAAACAGGTCACCGAAAAAACGTAGCCAGTTAAGGGAGGTAATATTATCTACTAAAGGCGCGTGTAGAGCCTTGTAGCTAATTGGAGGAATGATCGATAACATTAATAATGGGGGGAGGGTTGAAGTCAGGGGGGGGGGGGGGGGGGGGGTGAGGGGAGACGGCAGGGGGGGTCTTCGCGTATAAACGTGTAGCGTCTCACCTGCACCAGCCTGATGGCGGGGCAAACGAGCGCCACCAGTGCGGCCATCAAAAGGCCGGGCCAGAGCGCGCCGTGCGCCGCCATCGCCCTTTCGGCGCGCGCCACCACGCACCAGCTGATGTCCACCGCGGACAGTTCGGCGCGCAGCGTAGAGCCGCGCTCCCACATGGTGCACTTCACTGGACGTTGAAAAATCGATACATTGAAGTTTTAGCCCATATATTGTGATACAAAATATCGAAAATCGAATCAAAAACGATGTTCTTTTCAAAGAACAATGCCCATTTTTGACCTGATTGTGTATAGAGATGAAATAAATATTAAAATTTAGCTAATTTCATTTTATAGTAATTACACTAATCACAATGTTAAAAGAAGGTCGGGAAAAAATATTTTTTGATATTTCTTTACGCTTATTTTACTTCAAGGGTAAACATATTACCATGTTTTGAACGCACCTTAACAATCCTTTGCATAGGCCGTTCCATTTTTCACACTACCTACTTTACTGTATTCAACTTTTTCTGAGTTTTGTACGTGTTTTTACGTGTTAGAGAAGTGAGTAAGCACGTAATTAACAGTATTTGTATAAAAATTAAGATCAATCTTATTAGTAGTATAGATTTATTAAAAATAAAATAATAAATTATTAATGCAGCATGTAATAAAGTTCGCACGGCTCTCGTAAATGGATTTTTTTTGACATTTGACAGTTCTGCGAGTGACTCATACTCATCGGTATTCGCCAGTAATTGTGAGTATTTATGTTTATTATTTTTAATCTAAAAATCTCACAATCATGTCATAATCAAACTAACAAAGCTCCTATAAATTATACCTGTGACATAACACAAACAACTGTTCAAAAGATCTATATATCCAAAATATGTATTATAAACTCAATATATGTTTTTTATTTCAGATTACTGAGGAAGATTATATTGTAAATCTTGTAATGAACTCTTTATGAGAATAATAAACCAGGAATTAACAAGCTGTGATGTTGCTCAAGCTTCAGGATTATCTCAACCAGGTCGAAGAACAGTTTTTGATAATCCTTCAGAAAAGCAAAGACAGATAAATGCTATTATACAAACAAGTTCACAACATCACATATTCATGTTTCTACATTGTTAATCATTTGCCAGTATAAAACTTGATACTATTACTCTAGATTATTTCTCTTTTGTATTTTAGATGTAAATTAATCTGTTATTAATTGACTGATGTTGTAATAATTTTAACCACAAATAAATACATAATTGATTTTTTTTTAAATATATTTTTAAGATGAATAATAATTATTGCTTTATTACTTCTTTTGTAGATAGTTTTCTTTTGTAGATAATCATCATCTGATAGAATATGCCATTCATGCTGGATGAGTTGTAAGAGTGCTGCCACACATATTAGGCATGTTGCTGAAGTTTGTGGTGTTTTTCTACTGAAGATAATTTATTTTTTATGTTTCTGAGATTAAGTTATTAGTGAACTTATACTATTTGCATTAGATACCAAATAAGGCAAGCCAAATCCTATTATGGCGAACATATTCGCTTTCATGGATCATATAGAATAGAAATATGTAGGGACACAGGAGTTTTCTAGGAATAATCTGAGAGGAAGTGGTGACATAACACTAATAAGAGGAAAAATTAAGTCCTGGCACATTTAAAGAAAACAATATTGTCTACATTTTAATAGAAAATAATGTGTCTGGCAGAGCTAGTATAGTCAAATACTGTTGTAATTGTTTAGTTGGTTGGCGAACCATAGGATGTTGCACTCATGTTATGACTAGGTGGTACTTCGGATGAACTATCAAGAAAATATCTCTGTTATAGCAGAATTTCTGGATAACATAGTTATAAGACATTTAAGTGAAGATGATGATAATTAATAAAGCATTCCACTGTAACATAGTGTTTTATTTTTTCCCTCGTTTTTATTCATCAGGTATTATAATTATCGATTATTATGTATTGTAGTGCAGGCCAATGAAATGTGTAGGGCAGATAAATGATCACTTTTAACTTACGTTTTTTTAGTAAGTACTTATGTGAGCTGTTGAAATAGCAGATAATGCTCTTCACTCAAATTATAGTGACAATAATCGAGTCTAAGCAGTGACGTAAGGGCAGTCGGTTTTTAGGAATTCACAAGTAAAAAAGACGTTTTAGACTACATAGGCTAATATTATTATTTTAGAGTAAACTTGAGCGTAAATAGTTAGTTCTAGCACATTTATTTCGTTATATTAGGTAACTGCAAATCCTAACCTAAAAAGTAACATTTTTTTATAATTTTTGGACTTCGTAGACCAGCAATCGTAAAAATGACTATATGATATTAATTTACTAACTTAAAGGTAGTCTTTCTGCTATACCTTGTAACTATACATACACTTTCATTATCAGGTTTTTAAATGTATGGGAAGTGGGCATTGTTCTTTGAATCCGGCATTGAGTATTTATTTTGTTGACCCCTACGACTTCTGGTTAAATAAATTTTTATTAAAAAATAGGAAGATTGCTATTTAGTTGCTATTTTTTTAAGATTGCTATTTTTTAAATAGGCTGAACAAACTCGTGATAATTTTTCCTCTCTTTTCTGATATTTTTGCTTTCAGTCTGTAGACCATTTTTTATTTACCATTAAAGCTCCATAAAACTCGTGGGCTAGCCGGAGAGAAAACGCTTGGTACCTATAATAATATATTAATAATTATAAATATAATATTATTCGCCTCCAATCGCTCCCATTTGATGGAATTGCTTAAAGTCACTTGCGATTTCAGCAATTCTATCAAAATGGAGCTTGGGACGGATAAGTGCGCGGTCCTCCATGTCGAAAGAGGTAAGGTCGCTAATACGAAGGGCATAGTAGACTTATCTATGCCCGTTAACATAAGGACCCTCTCTGAGGCTGAAAAATACCGATACCTGGGTATGTCACAAAACATGTGTATCGATGAGGCTGGCATGAAACAGTCAGTTCGTGACGTGTTTTTTTTTGCACGCCTGACAAAGGTGTTTAACAGCCATTTGTCAGGCGTGAACAAGGCACGCGCATTTAACGGCTGGGTCATGCCAGTCCTCATGTATACCTTTGGCATACTCAGGTGGACTCAAACTGAGCTCAACGCCCTGGATCGAAAAGTCCGCACAACTATGACGTCCCACAGAATGCATCATCCGAGATCATCAGTGATGAGGCTGTACCTGCCGTGGAAGCATGGCGGGAGGGGCTTTTTAAGCGCCCTCACCATGCACAATCGCGAGGTGTGCAGCCTCCGTAACTACTTTCTGGCGAGATCGGATGAATCGATCTACACGGACATCATTAGTTGTGATAAAGGACTTACCCCTCTATCCTTAGCCAACGAGCAATGGCAGGACCCGGGAGTACTGAGCGTTTCCGACCGAGAGACCGTATGGAAGTAGAAAGAGTTCCATGGGAGGTTCTACAAGGCTCTACACGAGCCTTTCGTAGATATTGTTGCCTCCCTTAACTGGCTACGTTTCGGTGACCTCTTTGGGGAAACCGCAGGTTTTGTCTGTGCGATACAGGATCAGGTTATTAAGACGAACAACTATCGGAGATACATCCTAAGGGATGGCACCGTCGACATCTGTCGAGCTTGTCGCCATCCTGGGGAGTCGCTTCGGCATGTTATCTCCGGTTGTTCCATGCTTTCTAACTCTGAGTATCTGCATAGACACAACCTAGTAGCCAGAATTCTACACCAGGAGCTTGCTCTGAAATACGCCCTCGTGGAACGGAAACTGCCGTACTATAAGTACTCTCCGGAGGCCATGCTCGAAAATGACCGCGCCAGGCTCTATTGGGACCGGTCCATCATCACGGACAGGACGATTGTCGCGAACAAACCTGATATCGTGTTGATGGACCGGGCACAGTCGCGGGTATTTTTCGTCGACATTACCATTCCATATGACGAGAACCTCGTGAAAGCCGAAACAGATAAGATGACGAAGTATCTGGACCTGGCTCACGAGGTGACCGACATGTGGGTTGGTGTGCTGACCGAAATTATCCCAATAGTCGTATCTGCGAATGGGTTGATCCCAGTCAGCCTCTCCGGACATCTGAGGCGACTGGGACTCCGCTGGGACGGAACTGGGACGGAACGCTCCAAGCTCGGCCGTTTGGTCTCCCCTGCCGAGGGCTTCCGTCTGTTTGGGTCCTATTTATATATGTATTATATACAATATTTATATCTATATGTTTATTTTTATTTTTTATCTATAAACCCAACCAGACGAGAAAACAAGGAAATATCCCCAACATAATAAAAATAATTTAATAATATACTCGATCACCCTGAGTTCAAATCCCGTAATCGAGTGGTGTGAGGAAACCTGAATTTTTTTTAAATAATACTAAAATATTTGGAAGATATGTCAAGTCTACCGATCTGCATTGGGGTCGCGTGGTTATTTTATTTTTTATAGACATACCGTTGGTGACGACTGGTACGCCGAATGCGGTCGTTGGGCAACTTTTAGATTCGGGAGTGGTACAAGTGCTGGAATCGATTGTTGTATAAATATGGTGAATATGACCAAATGCGATAATAATAAAATAAGATATTGTTATAGATGTGGCAGATTCGGCTTTGGTGTATATAATTATCTCGCTGAACGATACGCGAGATCAAACGTACTGCCGATGAAGCATTTGAGTCGTGGTCCGTAGTTTCGCTAGGCTTCCCTTACTGTGCCTGTCGTATTACGTAATTACGCGACACGGTGCGTTATTGTTATACTTTGCATGCTAATATTAAAAAAAAATTGAAATGAAAGAGGGTACTAATTAATTTCTACGTTTTGTTTCTTTTCTCTGCAAATTGCTTTCTTAAAGTTGAAAAAGTTGATTGCTTGTTTGTTGAAAAACTGTCCAACTAACCTGTATCGCTGGTGGGGTCGAGAATGGTGAAGGGGTCCCATGCACTGTCTGTAGTGTAATGGAAACCTACATCCGAGTGACCTCCTTCCGACTGCGAGCAGTAACTGCTCTCTTCACCTGTGTATTCGTGATTGAATCGTTAGACATTTAGGCACTTAGTCAACTTTACATCAAACCAAATTAATGAACCGGTATTAAATAATGATTTGTTTTCCGATCGTCTCATTTTAAAGTGGTATTAAAACCAATTATAAAGAAATTCTAAAAATTAAAAAAAAATCTATTCCGACATTAAAGTGAGACGAGAGCCTTGGGTTTAAGATTAAAATTCTTACTGTTAGTGATTTGCCCAACCCAGTCTGACATGGTATGGTGCGAAGGCAGTGCAATAGATGGCGCTGAAGCCGAACATTCCCCATCGGATGACGAAGACTGGTAATTGTCTAATTTCTGAACAAACACATTCATCCTATTAGTCTCTATTATTAGAATACAAACATGTTAAACTGACGCATGCATCGAAGAAAGCAAACAAACATAGCGAACGATAGCTACCTGAGGTGGCGTGCTGAAAATGTCTCCCTTCTATCACCTATTGTTGCAAAACATCGGTTATTCGTGTATATCTCGTAGGTCAGAATTTTAGCAAATAGCATAGCATTATGTCTATTATGATCAATTTGATGGTCGCTTACCTTTTCCTTTTTCTTGATGTTGCTGAAATCGTCATCGCTAGATTCCGGTGGCATTGTCACATTCGCCCACGACTTTCTGAACCTCACTCCGATTCTCTTGCTTATGGGACCACTGTTTCTAAGAATTCCGCCGTCCGAGTCTGGATCGATGGATTTCTCGTCGTCCTCTGGTTTAGTTTTATTTATAAATTCATCCGTCGCCTTGACGGTATCTGTGTCGTTCTCTTCAGTGACAGTCACATTTGGTGCGTTCGTTTCTGAAATTGTTTTTTCTCTGCCAACACTGGCGAGTGTTGATTTCCCTCGGTCGATTTCTTTAGCTCTAGTCTCTCCGTCGCTACCGTTAGAGTTATAACCATTGAGGCTTTCGAAGCCGTCGTCCCCATCCGCGAAAATCGGCCTTCCAACGTTATTTTGCGGGTTGTGGCGCACATTGTAGCTTTCTAGATACTTTTTGGTCAATATGTTCGGCTTGTATCTAAAGGACGAGCTAGGAGTTGCGACGTCAGGTGGCGGAGTAAACGTCACTATAGGTGCATTCAGATTCGGCTTCTTCCACGCCATATAGTCTTCGTCATCCGAATCTTTCGCTTTACTTTTAATCTCAGACTTGTTTTTAGCGGGCAGTTCTTGATCCTTTATGAGATTCTCTTTGGTCAACTCCTTTTTTCTTTTTCTAGAACGAAAATAGATTAACAACATGTCGGTTCTATTTAAAACTTAGCTCTTTTGTGTCGTAAACGAAAATACAGAAATAAAACCTTAATCCAGCCTCAATAATGTCGGATCTCGATTGTCGCCTTCGAAATTTAGTGTGTTTATTAGTCGGAGTTTTGCTTTGACTGGAGGTAGCTCCACTTTCGGCCGATCCCACACCACTTCCTCCATCACAATCCGATCTGGATCTTCTAGAAAAACTCAACTAAATGTATCTTAAGCTTTGTTTTACACACATTTGCCAAAATGATTAGACAGTGAAAAGTTTCTACTGGATAGAAATAAACTTACCGAAAGTATCGAGGCAGTTTCCTTCGATATGTGGATCGTGGACGTACACGAGCAACCTCCATTTCTGTAGTACTTACGATTTGTGAATGCACCACACTCAGCACCAGCATCAGAGCCAAAGGTAGAACCCAACAGTTAGCCTAAAATGAAAATACTCTTGTATACACATATTGTATGAAATACATATAAACACATTGAAAAATTTATTAATAATCACCAGTTTTTAAAGTTAAAACAATTGTAAGCCACAAAACATGATACTAAGTTAAATTACCATTCAGAGTTACACAAAATAACCTTAATGTTATGTACTCTGAGTTCTAATAAAATAAAATTCTGCAAATAGCTCTATTGGTCAAGGAATATGAGTAAACTGATTGTTACCAAGAAATCTATTTTAAAATATGTATACTTACATCCATTTCCAGGGAACTAGGGGCTACAAAATATAGAGTCATATTCAGTACTTGTAAAATCCACAAGCTTAGTAAGAACTTAGAACAAGCTGGGGATGTTTGCTGAGCCCACCATTGATACAGTGCTGGTAAAAATACCAACCGCACTAATGCAAACCATACTACTCGGCGCATACCAAGGGTAGGTTTTGCTTTTGGGAATGATGAACCTATAAATGTTTTTTGTTATAAGAGTCAATTAAAATCAAAGATCAAATCAGTATTTTCTTGAAATCCATATAATTGAAAATTGATAAGTACATTTATACAATTCATTACATTGGTGTTCTAAGGATTAAAATTATTTATTAATAATTTTAATCGTTTAAGGATTAAATTTAACCTTTTTTTATAATTGAATTGATGTAAATTAATTTTAAATTGTCATCCTTATCAAGAACAACATCTTTTTAATGCAATAATAGAGCATTACACTGTGTAAAGAAATGTGTGGTTAAAGAAATTTATAAGAAACTATATGGATTGAAGAAGTTATGATACCTCTGACCAAATCCACATCAATAAGATAAGATCGAGCATGTGTGGAGAATGAGTCAACAATACGACGCCGATATGTGCCACGCATCAAAAGTTGCTCCACCATTGTCTCCCATTCCTCTTTATCATATGAGCTTATTTTTTTCTGATACCTAAAATGATTATTAAACAGTTAAGATAAAAAATAAATAAAGCAATATTTTTAAATACATATTTCTTTTATTTTTTCCATCAGTATTTTGATATCTGATATTTTTAACAACATATTCATTTGTTAAAATTTAATAAAAAATCTATGTGTAGAATACATGATTATGAGACAGGACACAATTAATTTTTATTTGATAATAATTCCGATGTTTAGGAAATAATATAAGTATTTTAAATTAATGTTATTAAAAAGTCATTAGAATCACATTAAAACACAGCGAAGGAGCAAGCAACTCAATTACAAAAGCAATTACATCATATCGAACCAATTGATTTGCAGTTTTGTATATGAATTTAGTGTCTGTAGTGGCTTAAAATATAAAAACTATTTTTAAATTTTGGCCCGAACATAATTATCATAGTCTGCAATAAGTCTAATTATGCTACAGACGATTTCATATCTTTGTAAAAATTATTGTTTATATAAATGAAATGTCTAATGCTGAGAAATGCGGTTGTCTTACCAAGCTGCAAGCTGCATCATGTTGATTTTATACTAAATTTATTTTGCCACCTTGGTAATTCAAGGGATATTGAGGAATAATTTTTTGACAAGCAATAAATTTGAAAGTATGGGCTTTCTGATAATATTTCATTAAAAAAATCTGAAAGTAATTTGGTTATTAAATTAAGGTTTCACTATATAAAACATCATAGAATGTGAGGAAGTTGATCATAGAAATTGCATAAGCAAATAAATTAAAACTTTTTCTAGGAATAAAGAAGGAATAGATACTTAATGACTGAATCGTTATTTCGAAAGGGATGAACGAAATAATAACAAAGACACATTTTTTTATTAAGCAGAGGAGAGTATAGTTTCACCCTAGTTTATTATTAAGGCAATATCTATAATATTAAATTAGATAAATAAAATAAGCTTGAATTTTTCAAATTATGCTAGTGAGAATTTTTAGGATTACAAATCAATAACGTAGGTAATATATTTGCGCTACTTACTAAAAATAAAACTTTATTAGTATCATGACAACCATGGCAAATGTACTCATTTTAATAGTTATTCTAAAATAAATACCACATGAATCACAAAATGAATAAAAATATAAATTTTTACTAGATCGAACAGGCGAAACGAAACAACCACTTTCAATAACATTGACTGACAGAAACTGTCTGTTGTCTGTTGACAAAAGGCCATAGATAAAGCAAAACTAATGTCAAATAATGGTAAATGAATGTCATTGGCCCTATACATAGGTTCTAATAATGTTATAGTATTTGTTTTTTTTAACGGCTTGAGGGATGTGTATTGTCCCTTCTGGGTCTGTAAGTGCTTGTGTGGGTAAGCTCTCAATAAAAGCACATTCCGAATTTATTATAATTAATATGAAATTTATTTTTTTTTTGTTATAAATAAGGGCAATTGTGCAAATATATCGAATCCCCAAATGTACATAGATAAGCGGTGGTGGATAGAACTGAACTAAGCGCCAATACTTTGTTTTGTTTGTCTTCGTTGTTTCACGAATGTGCAGGTCCATCCATAGATGTACTACGACCTCACAAGAGACCGGGGATAAGTGGAAGTGTAATACTTCTGCATTTTGACCGGTAATGAGGTAACCCAAGCCCACTTTTTAAAATGTGGCAATGCATCTGCATCCCTACGGGTGTTGCGAACATCAGCTGAACAGCCAGCTCACTAGTCTGAAAAATGAGTACTAATTGTATTTTTTAATTTTGATTTTGTGCTGGTCTCTACATTCAAGAAGAACTTATGAACTTGTAAATAACATTGAGTCAAAGTTTTTTACTGTTGTCAGGAGTCGAACCTGCACCTTCCGGATTATGTGTTCATTTTTTAACCACTAAGCTGAGCGGTGGGCATCTTCACCGCTAGTGTTGTCTACTTTTGTTTTCATGGCACTTATTGCGTTTGTGCAGTTTGAAAAGGAAATAATATGTTGCAAACATATTTGATGGTTTGGTCGGCATAGTTATCGCTGATACTATTGGTTTCACTGACGGTTCCGTTTTATTACTACCACATGAGACATGTAATTCTGTGATATACAAATAGTGGTTTCGAGTTTAGACGTTTTACCGTTTCAATATTGTATATTATGTAATTGTGTTGTCCTCACAACACAGTAGCAATATTAAATATTGGAATTAGATTTAATTTTTTGGGAATAGGAGTGACTTTAAATAATGTTACAATATTGCAACAAACATTATCTTTTATTTTCAACAGTTATATATTTTTAAAATTACAATTTAATAAAAAACATGTTTTTATTCGTTGTGAAACTTATTATGTATTATTTTTATTTACATTACGAAGAAAAGTACCAGTGTTTGTCTCAAATTTTACGTTTTATACGTAAGCAATAAGCCAAACTCTGAAAATAATTACTATGTTGCTGATACCTTAAAATTACTTTATATTTAGTTTAATTTTCTTACAAACTATGTTGAATTTCTAGACTAGATACTAAGAAATATTCACTACTTTGGTTGATGTAAAGATTATAAATAAGATTCTTAAAAAAAAATTGCAATAACGAATTAAATTATTTTATAGCATAAGCTTTCGCTAGTCGTTTATTGGTATTACAGGTACAATACGGCTCTGTGTTTTATATGCTCTGCTGTAGGTGGTTTTTGATTCTTAAGTAATAAGGAAAGATGAAGAAAACGGCTTATTGCTAGAGGATAACAGTAAGGGGATTGTCGAAGTATTTTCTTATTTCATGTTATAATTTCAACATTTTAACATAGACATGCATTTCGATGACAATGTGGGTCATATTCAATTTTGAATCCATATGACAAAAAAATATCGTTATTTCTTTTATATTCATTTGATACCTAACTTGTAAGTTTTTTATTCAAAATCGCAATTGTCTATTTAATACTTGTTCATTGATAATAAATTTAATAATTTAAATTTATTCCAATTATAAACTAAACAAACTGGGAGGGTATTTGTACTGTTAAATGTAATTACAACTGATAATAATAATATACGCTATTTACAAATTATAACTTCTTATGTTAAAGTTCAGTGGTAAGTTCGTCTTGAGGCCGCCTCGTCATTTCAAAAAGTTCATCTTCAAGCCAAACACTCTCTCTTCTGACAATCGGTCTCCTCTCCCACGGATCGGAGAGGATGATTGTTTCTTTCTGTCTTTCTATTTGCGTAAAATTGTCTTTCTCTCTTTCTATTTGTGAGTAGCTCGGTGGTCTGACGTCGTTCCATTGACACTGATTTAGCTCTTTGTCTATTGTATGGCTGTCAAATGACGTAGGTGAGTAAGATGGCGGTTTGAAAGTGGAAAATGACTGTTGCGTGGTTTCAGAATCCGACTCTTGACTCGGTGGAGAAGGTAAGAAATTCACAAGTTGACTTTGTTGCTGTTGACCTACACTCATTCGGCTGTAGCGTTTCAATATCCTGTAATATAATTTATTTTTAATAAATTTAATTTTGAATTAGTTGACATTGTTCCAAGTTTAATTTAAGTAAGTTATTATTCAAAATTACAAAATTGATTCAAAATTACATTCAAAATTTGTAGTCAATCAAAAAGATAAATGTAATTAATAGCTGACTCTGCATCTAAATTTCTTAAATAAGCATGTAACATAGACATAAAGAAAACTGGAACAGGAAAAGGAAATGTAGAATGCAAAAGAATAATTTGATAATTAATACAAACATTTTGTTAATATGTGTAATATTATTTGTAATTTCAGTCGGAAAATAATGTATTTTTTAAAGTAAATTAATTAAAATTCTTTACCGTTCCGCCCAGCTAGCGAGCCTCGGCCATTCGTCAGGAACAACAGGCACTTGTTGTTTATTCAACAATATGAGCAGCTTCGCCAGATCGCTCAGCACGCAACTGCTTTTCAAAGACTAATATTAGACACGAGTGTTGTTAATAAATGTGGTATGCGCGGATTACGCCGTATTGCACTTTTATGGGCTTTATAATGCACACTACGTACGTTCGCCCTTTTTTCAGTTAACTAATGTACCTATATAAAATTTATGATGGTATAGCTATTTACACAGGGAACTAAGAAATTATCGTAAAAAGTTTACTCGTAATTTTTTCCAAACTCGTCGAAATCAGTATAACTACAAAAGTTAAATTTGTGGATGGCACCAATATTTGGTAAGTTTAATATCAGTTTTCAATTTCACAATTTCAATTTTAAATTTTTAAAATTAAAAGTTATATAAGTTATATATTCATCAGAGAGATCTGTTTGCTTGGACGATCGCGGTCACACACATAAAAGAGTTAATCGAACATGACATTACGTGAACTGACTTATTGGATGTTGGACTATGTGGAAGTAGTCTTGATGAAAAATTATTAGTCTTATGCAACAAAATTCACAAACAAAAGTATTCTTTCGTGTATTGAAGTCGTGCATAAACATGAAGTATCCATAGATTCTATTTTAGTCCTCAAACTCACGGACTCGGGCGGAGAACAAAGAGCTTACGAGTTAACGCGCAAGAAATAGCACTGTAATAAGACTATTTTGATCTTTATCCACGACAAAACACCGGCGCCGTCATTCTTAACCGAAGATAGAGGATTAAGCTTGTATCAACACATTGACAAATAAATATGCCAACCAACATTTTTTTTCTTCCGATCGAATTACGTGTGAAATGTTAAAATGTCATAATTACCTGTACGCCATAGCTGCGTCATTATTACCAAGCTGATACAACTCCCTCACTTGATGTCGCGTGTGGTTCAGAATTGCAAGGAGAGTAAAAGCGTGCGGCTGAAAAGAGGTAATAGTTCACAGTGTGATCGTTTTGAAATAAAAATATTACACAGTAAACATCGTATTATGAAATAACTAATGTAAACCTTAACGAAATAAATAATGTAAACCTTCATTTATTGCTTAATGAAAAGTAGCTGGACGGCTCGGTAAAAAGAAGGAACCTTAAAAAAGGGGAACTGAAAACACGAATAAAACGAAACCTGGCTAAATAGATTTATCGACCCCGTTATCCTCTGCATACTAGATTTCATAAAAATCTTTGGAGCCGTTTCCGTTTTTTTTATTGTACAAAAAATAAATTAGCCGAATTAGTCCAGACATTCTTGAGTTATGCGCTTACCAAGATTCGTTTTTATTTATATGATATTATGATAAGATAACGTAATGATAAGATAACGTTAATAAACATCAACATGTTGGAACGATTGATGGTGGCTTTTCTAAAGGTGCCCAAATTCACACAGGAGGTTCAGACTCGGTAGTATAATCGTTTATTGAAATAGAAACAAACTGTTTTTTTTTTTTCAAAAAAATTGCCATTCCGTTCCCAATAAAAACAGAACTTGTTGACAATGCGGTAGTCATTCATAAATTGCGTCGTATACTTTTGAAACGAACTTATGTGCGTGTAAGTTATGAATGATCGCGAGTATAATGAGTTTCCCATAAAACACGCAATTTTTGAGATAAGTTCAAATGAATGTATTTAATTAATTACGATTTAAATATTTATTATTTTTTTTATAATACTATTTATGTCTAGAACATTATTTATGCCTAGAACTTAATATAAAAAAAGGATACCCTTAAAAAAGCCTCCCTGTATACAAATTTGAGACAAGATAATATATGCAGCTAAGACATTAAAAGAAACGCAAACTAATTATTAATCCAAGCATATCGATATCACAGACACTAAGTCAACTTTGCTTCTCATAAATATACAAACGAGTCGAATGTATCTTAAAACTGGTCGTATAACCTCCATTAGCTATATTATGTCACGGTATTAACTTTCAAAGACAAAATCATCCTCTTCATCATTTCATTATAAAAGTTAGGCAAAAATAAACAACCGCCAAAAAAGAAAAGAAGAAGAAGAAAGACAAAATCTCAAAAAGAGAATGTAAGTATTGTTACGATTGCTCGATTGACGTTTGTGATGGCAGTTTCGAAAGTCGTAGGTATTCTCGCTCTAAATTGTTTTCTCGAAAAAGCATGTCCTTATTCCGGAACATTCTACCCAAAAAGACAATCGAAATTCGGTCCTATAAAAGGGCACCTGGCGCGCTAGAAGGAATTCTCAAAGTGCAAAGAACAAAAAAATGGTTAAGTAGAGAGGTTTAGGTTTTAAATTGAAAAGAGTTGGTGAAGAAAGGGAAGTGGGTCGTATCGCATCTGGCAAAGTGACGAAATTAAGTGAAGATTAGAACAGCGGCCTTTTACTCCAATCACGGAAACCTGTAGTTCGTAACAATGTATCTTTTTCTTTGGTATGTAGATTTTAGATTAAAGAACCTACAATCATTTTTAAGCGTATAGTGTGCATGTAAGCGTCAAATTGACTTTGCTGCGTAGAACTAAAATAAATTTTAACTTTGTAGGCAATTGCTGTAAACGTTATATTGGTTTGGTTTTGTAATATTTCTTCTGATATATCGATTTCATATTTACAAGCAGCTCGAAGGTAATTATTGAAATTAATTTAAGCAATAGGACATTCGATAAAAAAACACGTACTGAAAACGGATAATGGCACTATTCGAACTCCGTTCGCATCCGCAGTAATCTTACTACACGAAACATTGTGCAAAATCTGCTATTAATAACCTTTAGAAAATGACGACTTCAAAATTGGCTAAAAGTGAAAACGTACTTTACTCGGGTTAATGGCAATTGTATCAGTGTTTATAACGGTAGCCGAGTAAGCCGAGCAAGTCACGGTATGATACGCAAATCAAACTGGTTTCTTTGACAGATGATACGAGAGAGTGAGGTGAGAAGTGTAGTTTCGAAAGTGAGAAACATTGTATCAAGCCACAGTACCATGAAACTGCTCTGCTCAACATAATCATGGCCGTTTAGCTAAACGTTTTGTTTTTTAGAAATTCTACACAACGTTAGGAAAGCATTAGTCAACAATTATTTCTCAAACAATACGAAAGTTGTTATTTTACGATTTTGCATTACATTTCGAAGTATGATAGGATATTTAAGTTAGGATTTTTTAATATTTTCTTAATGGTATAAATAGTAAAGTGTAATGTGTAAAGTGAGCAAAGTTCGCTAAAGGTTTACCTTTGGAAATGTATTAATTGTTTATCGGTTTTAACAATTTTGAATGATCATAATTAAACAGGAGATAATTTATTGAAAGTTGTTTAAACTACAAACCCTCGCGACAGAGAGAGAAATCGCTTGTACAATACAAATGGCCCAGTCTACTTCATGTTAATCGGGGCCGATTTTATCCCGCGAATTTCATTGGTGTGTATCCAGGAGTCCTAATAGAGAAATTTGCTGAATGCCTAGTGATCGATTGCTATCATACCAGCTATCAGACCAGCAAAAGCCTTTTCAATTACTTTTGAGCTGAAGACATAAAGGCTGGGTACGTTATGTTCGGTCTAAAATTCTCATTTTTTTTATGTTAAAATTTGTTAATCGAGCTGGCGGTTCATCTGATGTTAAGTGAAAACCGCCGCTCATGGAGCTTTTTGAAAATTGGGTTACAGTTACCTCGCTCACCAGACGAAACACGAAAGTATTATACTTCCACTTCACCCCGTTCTTCTGTGAGGACGTGGTACTTACCCTGACTTGCCTGCCCATTCGTACAACAGCTGAGACTGCTGCGTGGCCCTACCACAGTTGCATCATTACGCCTATCTTAAATTTTGTATACTTCGGTGATTCAGGTTAGTTGCAATGAGCCTAAAGACTCGCCACGTCTGTCTTTGAATCTTTGAGTAATCATAAAGCTGAATTTTCCGTTAATCATTGTTTCATGGACGACCGCTTATTTGGTATTTCTCTAGCCACGGTATTCTGTTGGCCCGATTAGCAAATGGCACGTAGAAATGGTGTTAATTTGTTTTTAGTTCCCCAATGACATCGCTTAGATCAATGTTGGTTACAATTTAATACACAGGTAAAGATTATAATATTATGGCTGAGGAAGTGAATTGCATAAGTCTGCTTTTTTACGGTAAAATTTCTCTGAGATTGCGTTAAACTAAGTGCAGATTTTTTTATGCCCTAATGGTACCGTATTTGATAAAAGGTTACTTGGTTTACTTATTATGATACTCACGCATCTACGTTTAATTATATATAATAAAAATAATATAAAATAGCTCGGACACTATCAAAGAACGGTCAAAAAATTCATCGCAATTTCTATGTCTATAAAAAAAACGAAAGATGAAGGACTACATTCTGTTTAGTTTTCTTTCTAAGTATGTTGTCCATTAACTTCCTATGATAGAGTTTATGATGACTTCATGTTTTCAATTTATTTGTTTTAGTCTATGTAGATTATTAATTAGTAAGCGATCTTTTAATTACGAGTACAACAATATAAATTATTAAATAAGCGCGAGTAGTTCAGAATTAGCTATTTACTGTTTTAGTATTCTCTTCAAGTACATTTATTCGAAGAAAAATATGTAGTAAAACATTGCTGTGAAGTTACATGTATTTCACTCGTTTTATATTTGACAAATTTTTTGAATTCGATTTCATATTTCGGATTTAGATGATTATTATTATTTAATTGCAATAAATTTACATAATGTGATCATGTTTAGGCGGCAATGTTTGAAATAAAACTGGTATGATTTTATTGTTCAGGACTATGAAATTAATATTAATAACAAAATATTTCAGAACAATCGACATTGGATACAATGTTGAAATTTATTTTCGCTACGTCACAATCGGTCGTGATCTCATTGAAATGTGATTTGTTCTTATGGAATGCTACCGTCTTGTAAGCACTTGAGATCATCTGCTCATTTTGGTCTTTGTACTTAGATTAACGTATTTATCATTATGTTTGGAAAAATATAATCACAAATATATATTGTGTTATTGTATTGCTGTGTTCCTAAAGCGGAATACGAGATAGCTCATAATAGCTTAGGGAAGCAAAATTTTTACCCTCTTCCTTTTAAAGGCCTATGAAACTCAAATATACAATAAAATCCATTATTTACAAATTTGTAATACTAAAGTAATTTTAATTACCTGTACATTAAGCTCATTTAATTAGAATTATGGGAGAAATACCCCCTAAATTTCTTATTTATTTCTTCTGTTAACGCTGTTCAATTTTTGTATTATTCATTAATCTAAAGTGTTATGCATATTCTTGCTGAAGAAATTTTTTTTAGGGTAGAACCAAATACGTCATTAATATCAACATGTTGGATGATTGGTTTACGTGCATTGTTAATTGTTTTATGTCAGCTTGCTTATACATAAAACTGTCATGAAATGCCAATGGTAGTGATTATATTACAGAAAGTTTGAAATTGGCCCCGGTGACTGAAATTAAGGAGTGGAGGGCTGACATTATACGGGCACGTCATAAAAAGGGTTAAAATCATATGAATCATAAGGAAGAGTGTTGATTATGAATGTGGTTGGAAGGTTACGGCTAAAGTAAGACCGAGAAAGGTTTGGATGGACTGTGTGAGTAAGAAGATTTAAGAGATGACGGTACTTACGTATTTACTGCTACAGATTTTTCGGTTTAGGTAAGGTTAAGTTTTGATATCAAATAAGAGCATAAGCGCAATTATTCTGTTGCGGTGGTGTAAATAAGTAAGTACCGAGATGACTGTTGAGATGACGTCTGATAAAGTGAAGAGAAGGAAATGTGCAGACCTCTTCTAGTGTGGCACAAAGGCAGGAAAAAGAAGAAGAAAAGCCAGTGGTAATCTGCCGCTTACCCGCAAGCAGTCGAGTTGCTTGTGAAACTCGCGTAGTCGTGCGTCATCATCGTGGCGCGTGAGAGGCGGCAGCGGCTGCGGTTGAGCGCGCGAGCTGCCGCGACATCTGGCGTACGCCGCGCCTGCAGCGACAAGGGCAATGCACAACGCGGCCCCACACGCTCCACCAACCAACACCTGCCAACGTTAAAAGTGTATACGAGTGAGTACGTACAAATTATACTGTGTTAGAGCCACACACACACTGCTATTTATTTATCATTAACTAAAACTACGAACAAAGTCTATAGCACTATATACAGAACGTTATCCTATGGTAGAGCACTCCATCCAGGGAAGTACCCGTATCACAGAAGACGGAATAGTAGAAGTACTAATACTTCTTGTATCTTGTATTAACTGATGTTTTTGCTTTCAGTCCCGAGACTATTAAAGCTTCATCTGACGCAGAACCGGTGGGTTAGCTAGAACCCACGGGTTAGGGCCCTCCGCAAATGGGTAGGGCCGCGCATGTGCTCATGCGTGCGTTTAACTATGGTGTGTCATCTAAGGGCCATCGAGGTCGCGGATCGGACCGAAACCCCAATGGCCGTCGACTGTGCAATTAGCTATTATCCGGCGGGACCCACGGCGGTGGGTCCAACGTGTCAAGTCCCCTTCCTCGACCGGGTCGATGAGGACGTTTCGCGGGCGACGCTTGTTGACGTTCGGGTTTGTGTCGGGTTGGTAATTTGCTGTTTACAACTACTGAGAGAGGTAATGAGAGCCTTAAGAGATTTTAAATGCTGACAGTATTAAAACTCTTTAGGTGTGGTGGTTTTCCACGGGTGGTGGTAATCACGTAATGATAAACTGCCTGCTTATTAGCTCTTCCTATAAGGAAGAGATTGTTGATACAAGTTTTGTGAAAGTATATTTTCGAAGTTAATATCACATAAATGAAAGGAAGTTTAGGTGTTTGTAATGGCTGATTAGATTGTACATATGTTACATAGTTGTTTGATTAAGTAAAAATTAATTAATTCATTCAAAAAGTGCAACCCGTACAAGCTTTTACCCGCGGTCTCGCCCTTCTCGCCTAAAGATAGCAATGTTTCACACAAAAACAAAGGTAACAGACGCAGTTCATTGTTTCTGCAGCTACACTGTTCAAGAATTTTTTAGCATGGTATATCCTTACTAATATTAAACGCGAAAGTTTGTGTGTATGGATGTATTTTAGGGAGTTCCACCTTCGCGTTCAATAAACGTCACTAGCTCTTCAATGACTTACACCCAGATTGTGTGACAATAGCCATTGTGAACATGTAAAATATGTAGACCAACGAAGTATAATAATTTCCGAATTTCCCTTTGTTTTAATCAAATTCACTATTGCTTTCTTAGATTTAGAATGAAGGATCTATAAATAAGTAGACAGTACTTTAAGTAAAATATAATTTAAAAAACACGTAACGAGTGCGAATAACATAATTATAGTGTACGCGTTAGTCATGGCCATAAATTATCGTCTACAATTGACAATAGTTGATAATATTGAGAGGAACACAATGTGGGTTCGGAATTTACAAGAGTGACGTTGTAAGTTTGACCTGCATACACTTGCAGGAATAACTTTACGGCTTGTCGGTCGATGTTGACCAAAAATGACTCAATTGTTTGTTGTTTACGCAACATTCGAAGACTCAGTTTTTCGCAATTCTTACAGATTTCATAAAATCCAAGCAAAACAAAGTTTAAAACAAAACAAGAAAAAAAATTGTTACCATTTGTGACAAAAACACGAATGATTTATCTCAGTCGATTTATCAAAAGAATGCAACAGAAATTCTAACATAAAAGGAGTTCTAAATGGTTTACAGCTACGAGTACGATATACTTTTGATTGGACTGTACAAAACTACTCATTAATTCGTTTTGGGAGTTTATAGTATATATCGTGGTGAGATCAAGCTAATGACCTGTCCTTTAAGGTGAATATATTATATCCTTGTGTATATAATTATACACATTTTAACACTCACCTTTAAAAGTTCTTCAAGTAATAATAACAAACTTAAAACTTTTAGTTTTAATACCGGAAAGAATTTTAAAGATTTATCTTAAATTTCATTATTAATATATACCGACACCTACAGTAATCGAAATTATAAAATCAGAAAAAATAGAAAGGAACATATCGGTCGTTAACGGCACAACCTTAATTTAGAATACAGGTATGTACCGGGTCCATGAGTCACGAGAGCCCTAAAAAGATAAAAAAGCCAAGCTAAATATGCCAAAATGCGAAAAAATATTTTGAAACTTAGTAAGTTTATCAGAACAAATGGCGAGCATTGCAGAAATTTGAATGTTTGCTATGATTGTATGATATAGAACGTGACGAGATTTCATAACAAAGAAATTATCCTAGGAGTGATGCGTCGCGACGTCGACCGGTTGTAATTTAATGAATCGCGTTAAAGTTTGGTGGATACAATTTTATTTATATGTCACGCAGTTAAATAAATATATGCAGCATATAAACAAAAGGCTTAATACCGTTAAATGTAAGTATTCGTTTATTTCATTCTAAACCACATACCATTTATGTAACTAATATAATGGTAGTTCATTGGGGGTAGTTAATAAAATTATATTTTTAATTATATTTATAATAAAATTTTATTTATGTTATAAAATTATAGATTAATGTTTCAAATAGCGTAGACACTAGTATTATCAGGTGATTTAGTTACTACCTGGATCGTACAAAATGTAAGGTTTCTTTTATTTTTATAAGCCTGAGGGGCTATAAGTAAGTACTATAATGGTTATCGTTTTTACAGTAAAGCACGATGCTTATCTACAGGTTATTACCCATTTAATTTTTGTCTGTTTTGTAGTCAAGATTTAAAACGAGAGATTAATAAAATATTAAGATCCAGACGAAAGTATTCTCTAGAGACAATAACAAAAAAATTTGCCGGTCTTATTTCATAAAACGAGATTCCAAAATTGTGTTATTACAGTGCTGTCGGTAAGTTCTGTGTTACTTTAATCTTGATCGTTCTACATATGTTTATAGAAGTATGTGTACGGAATATATGATAAAGACATAAAACAGTCAGTTCTCTAAAAGAGCGCCGTTAGTATACAAGTACAGTGATAAACTTTTAACATAAAGTTGCTTCACGTGTATCGCATCAAAGCGTTGCGAGTATACGATGCGGTTGCTGGGAGGCGACCTGACCCCGTTTCCAAGTATAAAAATATGTTATAGTCTATGCTCAATCTAAGGATGTCTATTTTTTTAAAGGGCATAACATCGGTCGTTCTATTTCTAAAGCAATTTTTTTTCATAAACAGAATAATGACATCCTATTTTCCATAAATAGAAAACTAATATCTATCTTTTCTTTTATTCCGAATTAAAAAAATAACACAATATTTAATACAAATTCGTTTTATAATTACTACTTTTATTTCCGTGTGGAAATCGTTAGATATAGGGGAAAACATTTTTTTTTCAAAGGCAGTTGTTTATTTTTTTACACGAATTACATAATTATATACTAGCAAGACCGCAGATTTGTTTTGTGTTTTAATTCAGTTGTACCGGTGCATATTATTTAAAGTTTAAAAGAGCTTGAAATAATCTAAATTAAGTAACCGACCTCTAGGAGAAATTTTAAATTTTCTGCACTCAAGATAAAACTCAAAATTTAATTTTTGTAAAAAAATGAACAAAACTTTCGATATTGAGAGATTGTAACGTCTTCTGGGTAAAGCGCCCGTTTTACCGACTAAGCCAAGCGGTTGATGCGCTCGCGGCGCGGGAATTTCGACATAAATAAATATCGAGCGCATTTCTCAACGCATTGCCTGCCTCGCACAACCACTCTAAGCCAGCTGCCGCCGTGGTCTTTCCGAACCGTTGCGACCTGGGAACCTAAAGAGGAGAGCATACTCTCTCCTTAAAGGCCGGCAACGCATTCGTAAGCCCTCGGGTGTCGCAGGTGTTCATGGGCGGCGGTAATCACTTACCATCAGGTGAGCCTCATGCTAGTTTGCCCCATTATCTCCATAAAAAAAAATCCGTCCACGTCACTACTGACCTCGTTGTATGTGTTGGCCGGGTAACACACGCGCCCCATGAGGTGGTCGTCGTGCGCCCACGCCTCCCTCGTGCCAGTCGGGCAGTCGTGTGCGCAGCTACCGCCCGGCCACACGAGCAGCCGGGCGCACTTGACGCACCCGTCCGCGCCGCAACGCACGCATTCCGCGCCGCAGCCTGCGCAAAAAGCGACGACATCTCGGTATCTAGGCGACACGTCAGCGGGTTTGGGGGTGAACGGTCGTAATCCAAACGACGTCCAGATAATCGGAAGCTTAATGGGTCGATGTGTTAGCGAGAAAATGTTCCAAACTGCAATGGATAGGAATCATAAGGATATACTTGACCTTGACCTGATACATAATTATTGTTTGACTTTTTATGCTTTACTTCCGTACGTTATGCGTTTTCTTTTGAAATCCACCAAATAACTGGTTATGTAGTGGATTTATAAAGAAACAACAATGAATATCAAGTATGTAAAAATGTATTATGAAAAGATGGTCTCCCGGATAATAATATTTAACTCTTTGCTACGGGAGGTTTCACGAGCATGAAAATTACAGAAAACAAACAGAATGGTAATACTAATTCAATGATTATCGGATTACAACCAAACTCCATTGGCAAGGTCATAAATAAAATATATATCTTTCGAAGAATTTACATTTACTTATATCAGTTATGAAACTTAGCAAATATAATAACTTTTTTAAAAAAAATTAAGTGCTTAGTTTTATTTAGTAAAAGAAAAAAAAACTAAACGAAACAAAAAATTAACTCCTTGGTATACATGTTTGGGATTTGACGGCAAAAGCCATTACGGAAACAATGACATGTACACCAAATTGAAATAGGGCACAGTTTTGGGCATCTTTCACACGCAAACGATGTCTATGTAGGAATTTCTATGCTAATGTCGTTAGGTAATGTATTCATGGCGATGTACACCGCTAAATCACATACTCCACGAGCCTTCGGGCTGTTGTTCTGTTCGATTTTCAATTGTACTTTTACCACGCAATACGTTACATTACGGTTAGCGTTAATTTAAATCGGTTTCGTATTAAATTTTTCTACCAATAAAAAATCGGTTACGATATTAAATGACATCGTGGTGATACATTCATCAAAAAGATATTTTTATTTTTATTTTATGCGAGGCTGTGCTCCTGAAGATAATTGATTATCGCCAATATATACATTCATAACACCAGGCGGGATCACGTACGATCCCTTTAAAAGTCTAAATACATAATGCAAAAAGTATAAATAATTTTAATTTATACTGGCCTTCAGTTATGCTGTGGTATTTTTTCGGGCATGTTGCCCATTCATGCATGTCTTTAGTAATGATTTCTATGTTTTCTGTAGCTTTTAGTTTTTTTTATGTGACATGTTGGCAAGCGAACTGGCGGTATACCTTATGTTGAATGATTTACGTAGCCCATGAACATCGACAACCTCTTTGAGGTGGCAGATGCGTTACCGGCTTTTAAAGAATTGGGCCGTGGTTACCTCACTCACCAGATGAAACGAAAAAGTATAACACTGGAACTTCACGCCGGTCTTCTGTGAGGCCTTGGTACTTCCCAGTCGGACTGCTGCGTGTAAGAACTTTGCGTGAAGAAGGAGCAACACTTGTACATACGAGAGCATAAAAGAAGAATAAAGTCAATGGGGACAATGAAAGTTTATATTATGCTAAATAAAGGTATAATATATAATGCTCGTATTTGTTGCGATTACAAATTCCAATGCACGAAGAAATTTGACTATTTTTTTTCACGTGAACCGCCAGAAGTTCACAGAATGATAGTTAAAATAAGAAAAAGAGATATTGTCATTTAAATATTCTTGAATAATAACGACACAAATCGTGATATACTTTGTCAATGTGTCAACTATATTTTTTAGTTGTCGGAAACTAATATCCAAACACTAAGTAAAGATAGTGAAATTACCAAAAATAGTTAATTTCACTATCTTTATTTCTCTCTCTCGCATTAGTTCATTGAAATACTAAGATTCGTTTTCGACGCTTTCCAAAGGGAAAGCGCGCGCAATATGCTATTAGTATGCCGCCGTACAATTAACGGGACTGACCGATAGAAATGTCAGTACTTGCCTTATGTTCACAGTGCGTACTTTGTGTCAGGTTTGCTTATGTGTGATTTGCCTTTTTATGAGTAAAAGCTCGTTACATGAAAAAAATATTGTCAAATACTTTGTCCTGAATATTATTTTGTATTAATATTAGTTTACAAAGATGTCCATTGTATTATTTATTGATATAGTAAATGTCATTATCTTTTTCAAATTCCAATTATATACGGTCCTTTAGTATGTTAAAAAGAAACGAAGATCACATTAAAATTATCCATATGTCTTACAATCCAGTTAGATATATCTAAGAAAATAAACGTAAAAATGAGGCGACAATTTTTGATAATTTATTTACACATTAAGTTAATCGTAAGTGGAGCTCTAAAATTAATGAAAAAAAAAACTTTTTCAATAGCAAAAGCGACAAGTCTACTTTTCAAATATTCATTATACATGTCATTTGAGGAATGTATGTTAGATAAGACGTCAGTGAGACGTCAAAATTTTCACATAGTAAGGGTACATTATCCTTTCTTTTGTTTAAAATTCCTTGCTTACACTTTGCTGTTTGTCAAGGTTACTTTAAATTATACGGCGCCTTTGAAAATTACGCACGAACGTCACACTTGTTTAAACATTGGCTAACGTGTTTTCTAAAGAGATGAGGTGCAAGAATAGTTCTTTTATATTATTTTTTTTTAACTAAATGCTTTAGTATTTGATCTGCGAACTTCGCAGAAAAGCTAATATTTTTGAAATATGGCACTACATGACAATACAGTATTTTACAGTATATTAAAACATAAAAGAAACATAATAATATCTGATTTAAAAATTCACTAGACGAAATATATTAGTAACCGCATTGTTTATTAAAGCGAAAATCTGTGATGATTATTTCTTAACAAACGTATACAGCGTGTCGTTCCAACCGCGATAATAAATGAACACACATATAAAGGATAACTTTTTAAAATTGTTTTAACATTTACATTCTTTAAACATCAATGTTTACAGTTATTAAATTGTCCAAAACAAAGAATTTTAGAACACCCTTATGTATACAACTAACGTAAAGTTCATTTGTAAAGGTCACAAAGCATATGAATGGGTTGAATGAATTTAAAAGAGATAAACATACTGTTAGAAGGAGAGATTTGTAAAGCGAATGAAAAAGTCTCTCAGCCAGTTGTAGTTGTATAGGTGTTAGAATTTTTTTTATTTAATTAGTTTGTTTGAAAAATATTTTTTTAAATAATGGATTTTATTCACCGTTTATATTTTTTCATGGTTATTGGCAAGTAGCGTTAGACGTGTGTTCATTTATTGTCGCGGTTGTAAAGACACGCTGTATACTACACATATACAAATGACAATTTATGACTAAACGGATAAGCTTATACGGCAGGATTCACAAATTTTATTAGGAAAGACGTCTGGTTCACAAGATATTAAAGCAGTGTCTATTATATTTTAATAATTACTCCCATATCTTTCTGCCTTGAACTTTTAATTTGAAGCTGAACTTTTTAGAACACTACTTTTTAAATTGGATAAAACATTGTCAGTATCTGCGTTACAAAGAAAAAAAAGCTATTGTCGATGCGTCACACTCGTAGAGTATTCATCACGCACTCTTTACGACTTACGACGTCTCTGTTCACGTGTAACACGTATTTGTGATTTTTCTTTAACACGTTTGTTATGGTCTTTGCGAGTTGTTTGCACATGGTAGCCGTAACCGTTACGTGATATACACAAGTGATTTCATTATCGTGCACACGAATCTTTACGCCTTACGGAGAAGTTGGGAAACTCGGCCGTAAACAATTAAATGAACAAATAAGAAAGATGTAGTTCTACCTATGTTTAACTTTGTAATGACCTGTATGATAAGTTTTTTTTATAAGTTTCCAAAATTGCTTACTTTCTACTGTTTATATGTTGTTTATGTTACATTTTTTATATAAATTATTAGAGCCGTAGCAGTAATAGCTTAGTGTCCGGACGGTAGTTTTTAATACAGCTTATTCGAGCAAGTGGGTTCAAATCTCGATGCTGGTACGTAAAAACTTGTGAACCGTAAGTGCTGATTTACATTGTGGTCAAACCTGCTAATTTTATTAATAATAAAAAAAGAAATACGCTTCGAAAATATGTGAGAACGGAAGAAAGTGAGAGAGTCTTACAATTTATTCTCTTTATTTACACAGGCTACTTTTACTCATAATGAAATCGCTGAAAGGTGTTGCTGGAACGGTATCTCGGCCAAACTTTACTAAACCGTTAGATAGTATATAAAAAGCTAATTTATAGTCCTAACGCTGCATCCAATGAGTGAAAGTGCAAAACAGCATCATCCAAGTAAATTCGTTATAGTTTTTGTGTTGTATATGCAGTTTTTGCATGGATCCGAAGTTTGGTTAGTTACAATCCTGAGGTATAAATTGCGTATTGGGTGACAATGTGGCTAGTATGGGCGTATTTTATATATACTCGTATATACAAATGAATATTCTAAGGTATACGACTCAATAAACGCCATGGTGGTATTTCATAAGAAGTTAAATATGGAAAAGAGATTTAAATGTCAGTGTAATAGATGAATGTCGAATTCTTTTTGGCGCTACGTGATTCGAACCTGCGTCTTCTTTAAAGCGCCTAGACGCTCTATCCAACTGAGGTAAATGGTCTACATTCCCACGACAGAAAAAAGTAAAGTAACAGTCTGAACAGTCTATATACGTCCCACCGCTGGGCAAACGTCTCATCTGTACTCTCGTATACTCTTGTGCACTACGAATTCAAATCAAGGTGCAAACATCAATGAAATTGTTATTCGCAGTTTTAACTGCTGGCAGCAATAAAATTAACAATTTTATCTAGCTCAGGTTGCTAACGACCCTAAAATGTCGATAACTTTACCTTTTGTTTTGCACCTAGTTAGTAATTTTTAATATGCCAACATTCGCAAACAAAGTTTTGTACTAAAAAAAATAATGAGAAACGTGACCTGAAGCGACAAGCGTAGAGATTTAATGTGACAGAGCAACTACAGCTCAAATATTAGA